AAAATTTTTTTGCTCTTGCTTCATCATGTGGATTGTCATTTCTTCACACAAAGGATTTTTTTTTTCAGAAAGGACTAAAAAGAGGGAATCAATTGAAAATGAAGTTTTGTGGTTATTTTTAACAGATTATATTCTGGACCTTCCTTGAAAGTTACAAACCTTGCATTTGCACTGTCATACATTTAAAAATCAGAAAACAATTTTGTCAGATACCAACAAATGCAAATCTTGACTGTGCATGTTATCTTCACCAGTAAACATTACAGCTAGAATTCATGATCATAATGAAATGTCTCTTCACTTTATCGTAATTTTCCATTTTGAATGCTTTTATTTGCCTTAACATTGTTAATTTATATATATATATACAGTTGCTTTATCGATTGTTTTGTGTCACCATATAGATTTTTAATAGGTGGACGTGGATCATAATGAAGAAAATATCAGGGAAAACAGTTTGATCACAAATGCTGTTGAAAACATATCCCATTGCTCTATGATACAGAATGAAACAACAATTATTAAAAGTGCTCTCCTCAATAGGAAAATGTACTGTGTTCTCCGTCATATTTGCAATAAAATATTAGTCACAACCTTAAGCTAGGTATTACTAGTAGTTAGGAATGTGAACTCTTTCAGAAATGACAACAAATAGCAGGGAGGGCCGGGCCTATTTGAGTTTCAACAATGGCATTTAGAACAAAACATTCAGAGGATCGCAAACATGCCCTTTAATTCCCAACATATTTCATTGTCATTTTTAAGGGTCTGCATGGGAGGTCCCGATCACGCTTAGCGCGCTAACTTTTTGTAAGGCAGTGGCCACGATTTACACTTGACATTAAATCAGAGTTGTTCGACTTTAAATTATGCAAATAGCAAGGTGCGAAATTCTGCAGAGCAACAACCCCGTATTACGCTTCACTTAATTGTACAGGCTGGACGTTTTATTACGCACATTACGTTTAAAAAATGGTGAATAGAACGACCCGGCGTCCCGTTGTGCAAATTAAACTAAAACCGCTGATTACGCATCGCAGCATGCAGACCCAATTTTTGAAAGAGTTCATAAAATGAAAGTAGACTCACAGCCAAGTCCGATGTTCTCTTGTCTCGTGGATAGGTGACAGGTCCCTCCGAAACACAGGCGGGTCCTCCAAGAATATGGACAGGAACACAGGATAGCTGACAAGTCCCACAATGTCAAGCCTAAGGTGTAAAGAAAGATCACAGGCTAAACATAACTACTCACAGAGCATCATAGTTATTACATTGCAATGGTCACATCATTTGTTAAAGTTCTGAAAACCTGATTTGGGTTGGGGTTTGAGTTGAGCTTTATGCTTTGTTTAATATAACATTCAAGAAAAGGTACACATAGAATATCATGACCATAGAAAATCACATATACTAGTTATACATATCACATAAAATATTATACATCAAAACAATCAATATGAAAAGTTAACACACATGTTGACATCATACTATCATAGCCAATGGCAAATTGAATCAGACATGAAATACCTCATTTCAGAACGGTTACCATTACAAGACATGCAATCCATTTCAAACATAAGTCAAAACCACATTTAAGCACAGCTCATATTGATAAAATAAGGTACTAAAAGGTGAATAAACTTTGAAAAATACGGCTCTGAAAAAGCGCCCCTTAACGGCCGTTTTACTAAGTGCAGGCTTAAACCACTCTAACCCGGTCGCCACAAATACTTCACACCATTCTGTGTTTTAGCTTCACTTCATTACAATACGTTCGGTTTAGATAGCAACTACAATATAAAGGACAATGTTAAGTGCGACTCACCACCTAAAACGGACGTAACGCGTCTTCCAAGACGAATTTTACCGGAGCTCTCTCTCCATGTGCACTAGCCGTCTTCCTGAAGCGTGGTCTTAGCACCTGACAAGAGATCACCGGAATTTGCATATTGTCAATTAAATAATTATATCAGATTAGCTTAGACACAGGTGTGATCTCATTTGTTAATGAATCATCATAATTTGCATTTCTTTTAGTAACGTAATAGACCAACACCATTATCATTATACCATTATTTGCCTTACAAATATATCATTCGACCTCAAAGATATTCGTTTGATATTTTAGTTCAATAGATGACAGCATTACAGCTGGTTTTAACAGGTTTTAACACAATACACATTTACTTTACACAGTCCTGAATTGCAATTTGCTGTTATGCTTTTAACAAAATATTGTCTCGAGTGTTTCTCAGTTTGATATACCTTACAATATCCTTAATAATGCAAACATTACATTTTGGATCAATCAACTATTCGGTAATTTTTTTTCTCCATCTGTGTAGCTACACATTTCTTGGCGCCCTCCCCTTCCATTAATTTCTTTCAGAAAGCTACAATCTTTCCTCGTTATTTTCCTCAATTTAGTGCATTGAATTTCTCTATTTAAGTCAATGAGGATTAAAGAATAATCAAACGGCTGCCTTATCACTTACCTTTCTATTCAGAAAGAAACCCTGCTTCTATAGTTCTGACACGTTAAAATGAATCAAAAGCGCCATGGATCAAAAGCGCCCCACAACGGCGATAAAACATCACTGCAGTAATAGGAGCAACTGAGCCAATGTATTGCTGCAGTTCTGCAAAGGACTGCTAGGGGCCGCTTTTGATCCATGTACTGTACTTCACTTTCGTAACGTGTTCGCAACGTATCCCTAGTCCTATCGTAGACAAGGCGGGCTCTCTTCGAGGCTCTGTGGTCCCTCAAGACTAGTATCTCTCCGCTGCCTGACTTAACTATGTCTCGGTAGGAGTTTTGCGCTGTTACGGTACAATTCCTCTCACCGCGCAAAACACACAACAGGTGCCCGGTAGTACAGCGACCGGTTGCCTGGTTGAAGCCAGGCGACGGAAAATTTCTACCGGCCCGAGTAGCGCCCGCGTGATCCACGACAACACCTGAGTGTGCAAAAAGAATCGTGTAGCATGTTGTAAATACTAGTAGTTTTTCTATCCCAAAAGTAACACTTTTTCCATTGATAGTTCCGGATACATGTAAGTGTGTTTTGTGGGGCTGTGATGTTCAGAATTGTAAAAAGACAACATTGAACACGACATTCTTCCCTCCTCAGAATTTAATGCAAATCCATAAGAATATTCCTTAGCTGTTTGCAAACCACATTTCGACAATATCAAGATATGGAATGTAAAGTAAAAGTAAGTAAGAACTGTGTTACAACAAAAAGACAAAGTGGTACCAGAATACACAAGATGTCAGACATGTAACTGACTACAAATTGACCTAAAACTGCAAAAGTCTTTTAACATTTTGTTTGAATAAATTGGTACTGTAATGTTTCAGTGTCACACAGCTGCACTACCAAAAATGATTTTTCTTATTTTATTAGGGAAAGAACGATTTTCGTATGTGAATCAAATTTTAAGAAAAATAAAGAAACCTTCCACAAAATACAGTATGTGTTTACTAACTAAATTCTTACTGCTACAAGCGTTTTTTCTTCAGTAAAGAAAATAATTTCTAGTATGATGCTCATCAATAATGAAAATTTATGAAAATTTAAGAAAATGTTTTTTTTTGGTCTTCAGACAAGATATTACATGTATTATTTGTTTATTGTGGGATCAAATGGAGTATCTATAAGTTAATTCTTAAGGTTCTACCCTTAAGATCTATCTTCTTGCACAACAAAGCATCACTATACAGCCATACAGAATAACACAGTAGCATGTCGGCAGAACGTACTGCACCTATGTGAAAACCCTGATTTTTCACAGTTTTCGTTGGATATTTGGTCAACGTTAACTTTGCATCAGAATTTCGCCCATTGCAGAAGACATCTTTTCTGACACAACATTTGAAACCTATTGTAGGGATGTCATCCTTAAATAGGTGAATACAGCCTTAAATGTTTTGTTGCACACCTACATGTGCACAATACATTACATGTTTTAATGCAGTATGTTTTGTCAACATGCTTAGCACAGTAGAGAATATGTGACATATTTTTGGTGTGAACCTTAAGGGTCACTATATTACATGTAGTGTATCTAGTATATACAATTGTTTCATGAAAATATTAATTTTTTACGTATCAAAACACAGCTAATTTTCTATATATTTCATAGAAAACCCCTTATACTGGTATTCTGTATCACTATTGGTATCAGTTAAAGATAGAATCTTTGCTAGACTGCCAGGGAGCTCCGATACAAAAAAGATGGTTCCAAATTTGAGGAAGCCTTTAGATGCCCTATTAAATTAAGGGTACTTTTTGTCATCCTTTCTCGTTTATATACATGTACATGTATCAGTCTGCAATATGTGAATCTACACGTATCGGCAGTTTCTCAGTTAAAATCACAGTAACACTTTGTAAAGACAGCATGACAGTAAATACATACATGACTTACCAGAGACAGACTATACAAAACACCTATACCAGTATCATGTATTTTGCTACTAACCCAAGAGCCTGGTCCTTACATAATAACCTAAACAGTTACGTTATGGTCACTATTTGTCATTTGTTGGTCCACTTTAACCTTTATTATTTTCCAATTCATGAAGATGCACAAAACCTTACTTAGCAGATTTAACCTTTGTATTTACCACAAATATCTCCTTGACTCTACACAAAATTGCTGGTTTGAAAATAGAGCATACATGTACAAAATTCTGTCACAAGACTTGTCTACAGGGCGGTTGGTACAACTTTTTGAAATACAGTAACATCACTAAAACCTTATACATGTACTAAGAATGAAAACCCTTTCCCTATGGTAACCCTTTAAGGTAAGAGAACGGTTTGTTCTCCGCAATTCCAAAGCATGCCCGTAGCCAGGGGGGGTTTGGGGGGATTGGACAAACCCCCCCACAAGGCTCAAAGGTCCACTTTTTATCTTAAGGTCCAAGATTTTTCTTTAAAAGATGGACTGATTCGTATCACCCGCGGGGTTGGAATCGTAAAAAAACTGCTCACTTGAATGAAAAAGTCGTGTCTGATTTTTCTTTGAAATCCTGTCAAAAACACAGGAAATGCCATTTCAGAAGGTTTATTTTTCTAAATTTGCCGGGGTGGCAGACCCCCCCTAGGAACCTTGCTCCTACAGCGCTCGCTGGTCCCTCAAGCAGTGGGAAGAACCCCCCCATTCAAAATCCTGGCTACGGGCATGCAAAGCAGCATCCCTCCCACTCTACTCTCTTAAAATCTCAAATACAGTCCAAGTTCTTTTTCACTGTGATCATCTCTGGTCTGTCCTTCTTTTTGTACTCCAAACACTGGTTAGAGAGGGTGAAGAGAGCCGTTATAAGAGACGGTGTGGGCTCCCCAGCCTGGGGGTCAGCATGGGGGAGGATGTCATCATCATCATCACACACATCCTCCTTCCAACTCACCTAGAGCAGGGAGGACAGAAATACATATTCTTAAAAGTTAACATTTCCAATGCAAATGCATATATGGTACTTAAAGGGTAATATTGCCAATGCAAATGCAAATGCATAATGTTTACCTTCACACGGTCTAGCCTCATAAACTTACAAATTAGTCTACTGCCCTGTTTCTTCTTATAATACTCAAATGCATTCATGTAGTCTAGTATATGGTGACAAGCCCCTCCAACTCTGTCCTGCTACAAAATGTAATCCAACATCACAGGGTGTCTGCTACAGCACCAGTTACCACGGTGACAGCCTTCTGGTCCAGGTCATTAGTTTTATACTAATGACCCATATTATTCAAATATGTGTTTGGAGAAGAAGGAGAAGAAACAGAGTTAAAAAAACATTGTTTTCCTTCAACAAAGGTATAAGTACAACAGGGTAAGAGTGAAGGGTACAACTTAAGATAGATTAAAAAAAAACTTTGAACAACAGCAATCCTTAAAGTTTCACTATGTTTAGAAATATCCCTGAACTTACCAAGTCTTTTTCATTTTCTTTCCATCCAGGTCGGCCTGTGATCAGCTCCAAGAGAACCTGTACAGGGAAAAACAAAATAAAACAGTTTGTTAATGGACAAAATCGATAAAAATCATCCACAAAACAACCACTCTCAACCCTATAATTTGCCTCTCACAAAATATACAAAATTGAGGCTCAAAAATCTAAAATTTGTTACTGGACTCCAGATTCCCTAGATTGCGAGCACTCTCACCCAGGTCCGATAATATTAAACCTGGGCTGATGGAAAAATATTTCGAGCTGGCTTGAGTCATGTCTCTAGTACAAAACATGGGTACTTACCACTCCAAAGCTGTAGGTATCGAGCTTGGGGCTGACCTCCCCTCTCATAGCCTCAGGAGCCATGTACACGCTGGTGCCAAACACAGTAGTGGTCAGCTGGCTGGTGGCCTCGGACGGGACTACCCTGACCAACCCGAAGTCTCCTACTTTAGCAGTGTTGTTTCTGTCTAGAAGGATGTTTGCACTGGTGGAAAAAACATACAATTAGTAAGTTCTTACTTTCTAGATGCCTTTTGAGACTTTAACATTTCAGTCATAAATGTTAACTAGAAAGGTGATATTTCCACCAAACTAACTGCTCTGTTTATTCTTACTTATTAAACACATTCATATTTTGTATGGTGACCCTCCCCTTCATGCCACTTGCTACATAATGTAATCCAACCACTCAGGGTGTCTGCTACAGCACCAGTTACCATGGTGACAGATGTCTGGTGTAGGTCATTGACCTTACATGTATGTGTATTGTATACAGAAGAAGGAGCTGAGCAAAAACAATATGCTTTCCTTTTACGAAGATAAATGAACTTATAAGGCCACACCAATTTAATTTCTTGGTTAACAGATTTTTCTAGAAAAATAATGGAGCAAGCGGGCAAAAAAAAACATCAGGTCTAGGCATCCTATTATGGCCCAAAATGGTACGATAGGAGCCATGAAGTCAACACACCAGGCTGGTTCAAAATTAAAACAATGAATTTTTAACTTTTAATGATACCACTGCATTTAAAGATGGAACAACTACTAGTAGGAAGAAAAGGACTGTTTTCAACTGTTCAGGGCAAAACATGAGCATTTTGCAGTTTATTCTGAATTTTCTTTTTTTTTTTTGCAAATCAGAAAAAAATGTGAATCCGTTAATCAAGAAATTAAATTGCTGTGGCCTAATATCATATTTCTACAAGTATTCCAACCTGTAACAGACCAATTGTTACTGACCTTTTAATGTCTCTATGAACGTACTCATGCTCATGCAGGTGACAGATGCCGGCAGCTGTACCCTGGGCGATGGCCAGTCTGGCCAGCCAGGTCAACGGTGGTTTACCATCCTGGAAAGTTAACACACACATCAAGCATGTCAAAATCGAAACCAGAACCTTCAAATTCTAAGTCAACAACCCATCTTGCCACTTGTAACACAGTATCAGGCCACACCAATTTAATTTCTTGGTTAACGGATTCGCCCGCTTCATTTTTTTCTGGTTTGCAAAAAAATAAAATCAGAATCAACTTTTACTGCAAAATGCTCATATTTTGCCCTGAACAGTTGAAACAGTCCTTTTCTTCCTAGTTGTTACAGTTGTTCCATCTTTCAATGCAGTGGTATCATTAAAAGTTCAAAATTCATTGTTTAAATTTTGAACCAGCCTGGTGTGTTGACTTCGTGGCTCCTATCGTACCATTTTGGGCCATAATAGGATGCCTAGGCCTTTTTTTATTTTTTATTTTTTTCACCCGCCCGCTCCATTATTTTTCTAGAAAAATCTGTTAACCAAGAAATTAAACTGGTGTGGCCTCAGTAATACTAATAGCAGTGTATTATGTTTATGTGAAATAGCAACTCTTGCATTCAATATACATGACTTGTACAGTATTTTTAAGAAGCCAGTAACATGAAAAAGGCAGTAGAATTACTAGAAAATATGTTTTTACTGACCTTACAGCTGAGCCTGTCCTGGAGCGAACCATTCTCCATGTAGAGGTAGACCAGACAGGGGTGTTGAGTGTTGTCTATGGAGTAGCCAATCAGAGGGACCAGGTTCTCATGGGAAAATCTGGTGATGGACACACATGAAAGAACTCATTGATGCAGCCTTAACTGTATTTTCAGTCATTAGTGGGTCTAGTTTAATGTACATTTGGACCTCATTCAACAAGACTGAATTGCTTTAGCGTGAACGTTCATCTGAGTTGGTACATTTCAATAAGAAAAATAAACTGTTGTCATAAGAATTTGACACACCGGGATTTTCAAACAAATCTCTCAGTCTTCATCAGTTATGATGATGACCCAAATGCAGGATTTTTCCACATGTGTGACGTCAGCACTTGGTCGACTCACACCCTCCCCACACTCCACTGTGCCCTAGATGCGCAAACCCTCTAGGTCGCGCTGAGATACTGGATATGCAAGACCCCTAGGTCCAACGCCTCAATGATACCCTGGGAGCTACACATGCACACTTGCATGTAAGGCCACACCAATTTAATTTCTTGGTTAACGGATTTTTCTAGAAAAATAATGGAGCGGGCGGGCGAAAAAAAAAATGAAAATAAAAACAGGCCTAGGCATCCTATTATGCCCCAAAATGGTACGATAGGAGCCATGAAGTCAATACACTAGGCTCGTTCAAAATTTAAACAGTGAATTTTGAACTTTTAATGACACCATTGCATTGAAAGATGGAATAACTGTAACAACTAGGATAAAAAGGACTGTTTTCAACTGTTCAGGGCAAAATATGAGCATTTTGCAGTTGATTCTGAATTTTTATTTTTATTTGCAAATCCGAAAAAAATGAAGCGGCGAATCCGTTAACCAAGAAATTAAATTGGTGTGGCCTAAGGTGGCGTTCAGAGAGTTAAGCATGCGTGTTTGCAGCCTAGAGGGCGTGAGTTGGGGATGGGCTACCTAAGGCTCAAACATGTGCGCGTAAACTCTCCAAATTTTGCCATATGTCTCACTGGGTCAAAATTCTCTCAACCGGGACAGGGGGTGATACTGACTTTCCAAGAACTTTGATTCAGTTGAACTGAGCGATTTAGTCAAACGTTCCAGTGAGTCAAATTCTTTTGAGTTGGAAAACAATTTTTAAGACTGACTTACAAAACATATTTTGAGCTTTGTGTATAATATAATGTACAACTATGCATAATGTACACACATTTACATGTAACTAACTATATGGATAGCAAGCCTTCTAAATGAACGCTTACCTGGAGAGTACACTGATCTCCTGTCTGAAGGCTTTACTGGCATGTGCTGTCATCTGGTCAGAAGGCTAGATAAACAAAGGATAATTGTTTTTACCTGTAGTTAAGCACAATGATGATGGAACCACAAGATAGCTACTTGTCAATGTTATTGTGTTGTGATAGATACTATAAATGTACATGTACATGTATATGTCATACTGCATGGTACATTGTACTTAAAATATGGGATAATGCTCTTGTACCAATGTAAATGTATCCTTATAAAGGGAAGGTGACTAGTATGTCAGGTTTTATTAAATATAGTATAACATAGTGTTGTAGACACACAGGTGCACACATGGGCCTTAATCTTACTAGGCACTGTACACAGCACAATATATGTACATTTTATGTATACAAAAAATGTATGGTGACCAGCCTCTCCAACTCTGTTCTGCAACTTGCTACATAAGGCCACACCAATTTAATTTGTTGGTTCTCGGATTTGCCTCTTCGTTTTTTTCTGATTTGCAAAAAAAAAAATGTTGATTCTGGTTCTGAATCAAGTGAAAAATGCTCATGTTTTGCCCCCCAACAGTTGAGGAAAGTCCTTTTCTTCCTGGTTGTTACAGTTTTCCCATCTATCATTGCAGTGGTTTGATTAAAAGTTCAAAATTCAATGTTTAAATTTTAACCCAGCCTTTTGTGTTGACTTCATGGCTCATTTCGTAGCATTTAAGCCTATAATAATTATAGGATGCCTAGACCTGTTTTTATTTTTTTTCGCCCTGTCGCTTCATATTTTTTCTGAAAAAATCCGAGAACCAACAAATTAAATTGGTGTGGCCTAATGTCAACCATCACCACAGGGTGTCTGCTACAGCACCATATGGTGACATCTAGGTCTTTACTGTGTTTAGAGAAGAAGAAACAGAGCAAATAACAAATTTGAATTAAAAATATTCAGAGCATACCTTCTTTAGCCTCTTCACAGCGACTACAGTACTGGATGTGAGAGTTCCCTTGTACACTGTTCCAAAGGCTCCCTCTCCTAGCTTATTGCCATTAAAACTATTGGTGATCATCTGTAGCTCAGAATACCTAAACTCCTGTACACCACCTGGAATCAGAGTTATCAACACAGACTGGTCACTTGATTTGACATTCCAAACAAATGACAAACAAGAAATATAAATAAATAAACCAGAAAGCAAACACATCATTTTTACCTTCACATGGTCTAGCCTAACAAATAAAAACTACAGCTGTTTACTCTCTTACTAAGACTCAATCATGTTAAATATGGCAATTAACCAGCCCCTCCAACTTGCTACATAATGTAATCCAACACCACAGGTTGCTACAGCACCAGTTACCATGGTGACAGATGTCTGGTCCAGGTCATTGACCATATTTGTTTGGAAAAGTACATGTATAGAAGCAGAAGAAACACAAATTTTACAAAAATATGTTTAGCTCAGTAAAATGTTGAACTTTATTCCAACACAAGGGTTAAACAGATCAAATTTTCAACGACCACTGTCACCTTCATCAGGATAATATAAGATTAATCACTTCCGAACATAAACTTGAAAGAGTTACGGTTAAAGACACATAATGACCTTATTCATCTCTGTGTAACCCTTGTGTTGGAATTAAGTTCAACATTTTACTTTGATTACTAAAAAGTTAACACAGATGAACTTTTATGATAATATGTTTTCCTTCTCATGACAGAACTTGAGATACTCAAAAACTTTAAACTTAAGATAAGATATCAAGAAAATAAGAAGACAAGCCTGGTTACCCTTAGAACCCCCTGGTGACTCCTGTACAGGTGACTCTGCATTTGTGGAACTTGAGGCCAACTCGTACTGAACTATAATGAGAGGGAAAAAAGTCACAAATGAAAAAGTTACTAAACAACTACAGGGAGCAAGCAAAACCTTTGTGTGGCAGTTATGTTTTTTTTCTTATCATGTTCATAGTAGTACATTCATTTTCATTCCACTCCTTTTTCATGCTTCCTGAGTCTACATGTACAAATAAAAAAATACTGTAAATCATGACTTTTCGCAATACTTGAAATTTATATTTGCGGTATTCGCAGTCACTTCGGAATCTGTAGAAGAACTAATCATTACTGTGAACAAAAAATTTGCTGACTTTCTTTTTCCCGCACCTGCTGCCACTGCGAACATATAGTTCCGTGAACAAATTGTCCATTTTTCTCAGACAGAGAGATTTTGCTACTGCAAACATAAAATGATTTATAATTAATAATCATAGTTTTGATTTCTGACCGACATAGCTGCTCTCCTCCCCAGGTCTGGTCTCCCCCGGCCAGTCTGATTGGGTGGGTGTCCTGGGACTGAGAGGTTCCTGGGGCAGTGTTGGCTGTTCTGAGACGTTTAGGGGAGCCGTGCCTTCTGTAGCTATCAGGGCTGTGTCTTCTGTAGGGGCTGAACCTGGAAAAATACATTTATCATTAGGCCAACGAAAAAAAATGTTGTGTTGTTATTTTATCAATATGTTTACCAAAGGAAAACATATTGTTTTTGCTTAGTTTCTTCTTCTTCAAAAAGTGACCTCTGATCTGGTCGATGACCTTATTTGTTGATGTCTGTCACCAATCTCACCATGGTAACTGGTGTTGGGTTACATCATGTTGCAATTTCATAGTAGGAGGGATTTAGACTCTTGTCATCACATATGTGAATGTGTTTGAGTAAGAATTAACAGATCAGACCATATGCGAAGGTAATTATGTAACAGTCAATAGTCATGAAAATTAGTCAATGCAGCAAACAAAAATCCACATACACAGTACATAAATAAACCCAGTACATGGACCAAGTTATTTGCAGTTAATATTCAATTTTACCTGTACTAATTACTGATTAACTTGCATCATATTCATTATTGTATGTAGGTGGTATTTGCAGCCCTGATAACAAAATATTGTTACAGTATTAAACTAACCTATGTTAGCGACTCTGTAGAACTCCCCCTGTAGTACAGTAACAGTAACTAACCTGGTATGAGCATGTTAGCGACTCTGTAGAACTGCCCCTGTAGTACAGTTTACAGTAACTAACCTGGTATGAGCATGTTAGCGACTCTGTAGAACTCCCCTTGTAGTACAGTAACAGTAACTAACCTGGTATGAGCAATTGTTAGCGACTCTGTAGAACTCCCCCTGTAGTACAGTAACAGTAACTAACCTGGTATGAGCATGTTAGCGACTCTGTAGAACTCTCCTTGTAGTACATTAACAGTAACTAACCTGGTATGAGCATGTTAGCGACTCTGTAGAACTCCCCCTGTAGTACAGTAACAGTAACTAACCTGGTATGAGCATGTTAGCGACTCTGTAGAACTCCCCCTGTAGTAAGACCTCCACCAGTTCCTGTACTGTGGTGTTCTGTGTTCCCCAGTCCTGCAGAAGGGCTATGGTCGGGCTCCCGTCTCTCTTCATATACTCCATGTCAAACATACTGTAAACAACAACAATCATAGGTAAACAACAACAATCATAGGTAAATAACAACACAACATTTCCGTCATCATTTCATACTTGCAGCATTTGAGGAGTCCCTTTATTTTTGGGGACCATCAAGAAATTAAACTAGAACTAGCCTACATGTACATGTAAGCATGGAACATCAGATTCTAATTTTTTTGCCTCAAAGTTATCAGTTTGCTATGGGATAAATTTCATTGAAAATTCAGTTAACTGCCCTAGACTGAAATAGTTTTGCCTTTAAAGGCATCCAATGCAATTTCAAGGCAGCAAAACTGGAAATATTCTAAATAAGGCAATCTGTATGATATTGATACATAGCACGTTGGCAGAACGTACTGCACCTGCGCGAAACCCGTAATGTATTGTACATACATGTAGCACTTCGGGAGAATGTCTCATATAAGGTCGTATTCGCTCATATAAGGTTAGCATTTCAACAGTAGTTTCCAACTGGTGTGTCGGAAAAGATATCTTCTGCAACAGTCAAAATTCTAATGCAACGTTGACCAAAAATCCAACGAAAAACACGAAAATCCAGGGTTCTGCGCAGGCGCAGTACGTTCTGCCGGCGTGCTTTGATACATGTACATACTGTCCCACATTAGCATATTTGAATCCGTTAATTTCATACCTTTGGCTTTTAAAACTACAGAAACAAGCTCGCGATCCATGATTATTTTCTGGGTGGTACCCTAAAAATCAACCATGGTCCTTCCAGTAACCATTTCTCGTCAGAATTTGGGGCAGTTTTCCTAAAATATCCACTAATGCCGATATATACTGGGATAGTGTTGTTTCAACTTTGGTACGTAGATAAGTAATAGATATGATTAGCTAGAACATTGACATTTCCAAGCCCTAAAAACTGTGTGGTAAAACAACACCCAACACCCAATCACATACTTCATCTTGGTGACGTTATATCTGGGCTCACTGCTGCCGTGTCCTTTGGTGATGAGACAGGCCAGGTCGCGCCATCCCTTCAGCTGGCCGGGGGGGTCCAGCTCCATGGCTACCATCTTCAGCACCGTGTACGGCATCTTACGGATGTACATCTTAGGGTCCAGCAGGGGGGGAGGCATGGTCTGGAGGGAAGGATAAAAAACAACTTGTAGTACCCTGAAAAACCCTCTCCCAGCCCCCTCTAGTACTAGTAGACTCCTATTATCATGTTTACATTCGCAGAAGGAAAACATATTGTTTTTGCTCAGTTTCTTCCTCTTCTTCTTATTCTCCAAACAGGTAAGGTCGATGACCTGAACCAGATGTCTGTCACCATGGTAACTGGTGCTGTAGCAGACACCCTGTGGTGTTGGAGAGGCTGCTCGCCATACATATATTATTATCAGGGTTAAAAATTTATTTTGGGTAATAATAGGTGCACTGGTGCACCCAACCTAAAAAATTGGGTGCACAAAACATTTTGGGGGTGCACGATATAAAATAAAACAAGTAGAATACTAGAAAAACTATTAATTATGTTTCATTTCTAAAGAAACGTACTACTATAATGATTTTAGAATTATTCTGACACTTGGATGTTATTAACTTAACAATATACTATACTATAGATTGAGCATCTTTACATATACGTAAAGCTACGAAAATCTTTGAAAAAAATATGTAGGGACAGGGCGAACAAGAAACCTATACGTATCCTATATGAATATGATAGCCCCAAATGCTATGATAGGAGCCATGAAGTCAACATACCTGGCTGGTTTGTAATTCAAATAATGAACTTCAAAAACATGACTTAATTCATGACCTGAAAGACACACCACAATCTATATATAATTCTCCAATTGCATTTTACATCAAACAGAAGAGAGTCCACAAACTTTTACAAAATTCATTGAAGTACTATATTTCCTGCGATACAGAGTATTTAATAACAAAATCTGGTGTTTGATGTTTATTTTACACTTCAGCCCTGATTTTATATTATACATGGCCACCTGTTAGAGTCCAGTGTTGCTAATTTGTGCCACAGATTTATCACATAGGTTTTTTATACTCTCCAAGCAGAGGTTTGGGTTTTGGGGGTATTTTTAGCGTGTTTTTAGGCTTTTTTATCGGGGTTTCTCTTTTGCAAAAGAGAAACCCTAAAAAAGCCTAAAAACACGCTAAAAATACCCCCAAAACCCAAACCTCTGCTTGGAGAGTAGGTTTTTTAGGACTACGAAAAAAAATGTTGTGTTTCCCGTTTCTTGATTGACCCTAGCAAAAGTCCTAGCCTTTTATTCAGTCAACCGCTGGTGGATCTATATTAAAGGCAATAAAATTTTCAATCTGAATTTAAAACCGTATGAAACTGAACTGCACACCTTTTCAGAAGAAAATTTTTTTTGCAAATAGAGTGAAATATTGTCCCCCAGAGGAAAATGCTAGCACAGCACGAAAAACGGTATTTACGGATGCTTAAACCACGCTTAAAGTCAACGTATATTCCTATTTTACGCATCTATATATACACGTCTTATACGAGTTCGTAAAAATGGTCTTTACGTGGTATTTCGGATGCGTCCTGGACATCACTTTTTTCCGAGCACAGCAGCTACCTGTCATCTAAAATTTGTGACCCTAGCATGTCCAGATCACAAGATAACAAAACTGGAAGTTCCACTGCAGTACCATGTACAGTAAGTTGTAACAGCTATAACACCAGCGGGAGGGCGAAAATTTAACCATGTCAAGCTCTCATCAAGACCTACCCACATACCAAATATCAAGACAGTCCATCTACCCAGTAAGCCTTCAATTATCAATTTATCGTGTTGACACACAGACAGACAGACACACACACACACACAGACAGTTACTGAAAACATACATGCTGTTTGTAACTAAAGGTACTGTAATTATAAGATACTAACCTCTGACATTTCCTCCTTTACTGGCATATTTGTCAGGCTTCCCATAGTTGTAAACAACATAGAATAACCTTCTACCGTATACTGACAAAGATGTCCTCAAATCACACAAAAATATTCCAGTGGTCCACGGCTGTCTGACTCTGAGACAAGTTCAACTTTAAGGAAGGAAATACGTCTAAGGAGTGAGTTACAGATTTGACACGACAACAGTGTTAGTTCTGGAAGTCTTCCAACATCACGACTAATTCGGTCATGCAGTGCTGTAACTATAGTTTCTGTTCCTGTTTTTCTGCATCAGTTCCAAGTATAAATATGCAAGTTTCGCTACGTGTGATATGACTCACTCAAATGCAAGGGGTGCATAGTTTACAGATCTTGGACCTATGACATTTTGAGCTTGGTTACACGGACGAAGGATGGTGCAAGCATCGAATCTGGAAATATTCTTGAACATTTACTAATTTTCTTTTGGATGAGTTTTGTGGGAGGGGGGCGTGTAAGGAGTATGGAAGTTGCATGCTACTACTTTCGACTTGTGTTCCTTTGATATCTATACAGACTATACGGACATCTAAGATTGTTTCTTGATGTTGAATTTATCTACTGTTTACTTACGTCTCGATAAGGTTATTTTTCCGCAGAATCGTCCGGAAATTATGGCCAGGTGCTTCCCCCTTTATCAACTTCCGCACTCGACTGAGCTGCCATGATCCAACTAAACTTCACTAACGATTGATTGAAGAGCGCCTCTGCCGATTTCGATGCAAACTGCAGGTGTAGACACTGGTCAATCCAAGGGGTTACAAGGAGGTTCCACCTGTATTACCTTCTTGATACTGTAGTACTAAAATGTACAGATGTATGAATTTCTGGGCCTGGGGAATTCTTTTGGCAAAATCTTCATTAGGCCACAACAATTTAATTTGTTGCTTCTCGGATCGCAATGTCCATTTTTAACTGCAAACTGCTCAATGAAATTTTAAGACATATTTTGTCCCCAACGGTTGAAAAAAGTCCTTTTCTTCCTAGTTCTTAAGCTTTTCAATATAACAGTGCAATTTTGTTTCATTAAAAGTTCAAAATATATTGTTTAGTTATAAACCACCTGGTACATTCACTTCATGGCTCGTATTATAACATTTCTGGCTATCATGGGGTGCCTTGGGCAGTTTTTTTTTGCCCTGTCGTTCCTGGTTTTTTTTTGTGAAATATCAAAGAAACAACAAATTAAATTGGTGTGGCCTAATAGGAACATAAATTTAGTCACTTTTGAATTTGTTAAACCCCATAATATGCCTGTTTTTTTTTAAATATTGAGTTGATCTGTGATCATTCATTGAACCAAGCAGGATATTGGATTTAACCTCCTTGACGTAACATAACATTATATCGTTATATATATATATATAAGTTATGAAACGTTATATTATAACTTACAATGTTGAAAAAGAAAAAAAAACATTTGCCAGGTGGTAGTCTAGATAGATTTATTTCGTGCATGTCATAATCCAGAGAATATTTTAACAGATATTCGACTGCAGAACAATGCTCAGTTCAAAGTGTTGGTACAACAGTAAACATCTACCTCTGCTTGCCATTACACACAACCTTTTCACAGTTACTGGTTGTGCTGAAAAATAGAACTTTGTAAATCGGCACACAAAGCTAGTGCATTTGATTGCATGTGTATTACATGTAGCTTTTGACCTGTTATACATGTAATTGTTGTAATTAGTAAATCTGAAATCTAGACTTTCTTCCTATCTTATTCTTACTTAATTATGGCAAATTTTACCTAGCCTGGGTACCATCCCCAGTAGTATATTCGCAAACTCTATAACTGGGTCTGGACTTGCACACATATGTAGCGTCTGGAGTCTAAATATTCGTTCAGATTTTGAACGAGCGCGCTGATTGGTCCTACTCGTCTAAGCCCTTTTTGGGGTATGTACATATTAGGTAAGGGCCGTTCGGACGTCCGAACGGCGACGTTAGCGTCGGTTCGAACGTCCGAACGCCTTATCATCAACATGTCCGACGGCGAACCGAACGCTAAAGCGCACATGATACAGCCGTAGTCAGTCTTTCCGCGATAAATCATCAACATGGCTGACGCACAAGCCGCTCAGCTCACGGAGGTTGATGTTGACCTCGCAATCACGTCCGTTTTGGACGATTTAGACAGAATATCGTCGCTCAAAAATGAGCAAAAAGATGCATTGAATAATTTCGTTCGTGATGTTTTGGGCGTCCTGCCGGTAAAAAAAAGAACGCGCCGAGAAAAGGAACACTCGCACGAAGATCTGTGTTTACAAAACAACAAACATCACTTGAATAATGCAGGCGCACCATTCGCCGTCGCCTCTGAGGCTCAGCCAATCAAATGAAGCCCCGCTGCTCGGGCTAGCTCATTATGTGACGTCATGACCAATCGTTTTATATGTGTGCAAGTCCAGACCCAGTTATAGAGTTTGCGAATATACTACTGGGGATGGTACCCAGGCTAAATTTTACCATCTTCACTCCCAAATAATCGTTACAAAATGATGGCCAGGTACACCGATTTTAATTAAACCCCTGCAACTGATGTCCCCTAAAGGATGCTTCACCATCTGTGCATGATAAACCTATAACATGATTTCAACCAAGGACATTATACACAGTGTATAATGTCCTTGTTTCAACCTATGATTTCAACCTATAACAGCCTGCTCTGTCAGCTCTATTTTTCTACAAAAGGTCTTTTGTGACACCCTAGATGTTTCTAGGTATGTTTTTGTTTTTCAACATACATGTATGGTGATTACAAAGATTACATTGTATTTTGCCTGCACATACAGTATCTGAGCATGTTGACAGCAGCAAAGTGGCAATGTCCATGTACTTTGACAAACTGACATCTGATTGGTTGGCAGTGACTGCTCTCTGCTGATTGGCTAAAGAGACTGCTCCAGTTTAATTGGCTTGCTGAAACTGTCTTTTGATTGGCTGAAGAGAGGGCTGTCTTTTGTTTGGTCAGAAAGACCAATATCTGACTAGTAGCATATTGATACAGACATGAACAATGTTAGATTTCTCAGTTCACAGCATCTTGTATTTTGTAAGGCATACTTGTAGTAAAATATGGAATTCAAAAAGTATTTTAGGATGTACATTTTGTTTATGCATTGTGGCTATCTATGCATTCCCTAATATACTCATGACTATTTCAAGTTATGTAAATTTCTATAGGCAATATGCAAAGGTCTATGCTAATTAGGAATCCAATGCTACGCATAGTCATTTTCATACATTTATGAAAATAGTTATCTCCTTGAAAAACATGCATCTTCCTGAAGTTCGTTCAATCGGCATACAAAATTTCCTGAAGTTTGGGCAATCATAGTCAGCATTGTACGGTGTTCTAATTTTATGTTTTTCACATAATTTGAAGCACTGCGTACCATATATAATTGACAGTTGTTAGTGCAGTATCATTGATACAACCGTACATTTGGAGTTATAAAGTCAACCAGCACATTTTACTTCAACAGATTTTGTCATCCATTTTTCAGCAATCTTCTTCTAATTGTCTAGTGCCAAATATTTGATAGCATCAGCTGGTGTGTTACACCGAAGGGCAGTTATACCGGCTATACCGATACAGATCCGTTTGGAAGTCTTCCCAGAATCCACCACCATGTCTGCCATTTTCCTCAGCGACCCTCGGCTTGGGTCAAACATTTTTCCCAGCATCCTCCTTGAGGTTGACGGTCCTGTTGAACACCAGCTGTGGAAAAAAACAACAACAACAGGAAATTTTTAACAACTGTTTCTTTCACAAAGCAGATACCATGTTCATAAATGTCAAAACTCATACCTTTGCTAAATGATGTTAACCTTGTACATGTACTATATTTGCGCATACATAATCAACTAGAAAGGTAACATTTGCAAAGCAAATGCATAATGTTTACCTTTGCATATGGTTTGCTCTGTTAATTCTTACTCAAACATATACAAGTGTTGACAGGGGTCTACTCTGTAAATCCCTCCTGTTATAAAATTGCAACATTGATGAAGTAACCCAACACCAGTTACCATGGTGACAGACGTCTGGTTCAGGTCATTGACCTTATTTGTTTGGAGAAGAAGGCAAAGGTAATAAAATGGCAAGATAACATAACAACTGGCCACTGGGAAGACTAAATTACATATTTTCTTGTCTATTCCAACTCCCCCACAGTCACATGTACATTTTTACATTTACCCTACAGTGTATTGTAAATGTGAGATTTCAAGAGACACAACAGCCTACCTTGTCGGACTTTGCAGAATCAGGATCTACAGAGAAGTAGCCGATCCTTTCAAACTGGAACTTGTCGTACACCTTGGCACTCTTCACTGAGGCGTCCAACAGGGCACCAGGAATCACAGTCAGGGAGTCCTGGGGCAATGGAAATATAAGAACAATTTTATTACACAACAATCATACATGGCAAGAACTATTGAACATAGTGCAGGGTTCTAGCTAGGATTTAATTTTAGCGTAGTGGCACTGGCCGAATGTCGAGGGAGCGAAGCGACCGGGGGGGGGGTCGAGGCGGAAGGGGGGGATGTGCGGTGCAGAGCTTTTAAAAATTTCAGCTAAAAAAGGGGCCATTTGAGGGATACCCAAAGGGAAAAAAATGTTATTTCTAAGGTATGACGATTGTACAATGTATCCTTGATTTGTAATTTTTCACATTTGATCTGGCATTCTTGAACAAAGAAATACAGTCACAATGCCCCTACGCTGTATTAAAAATTAGCGTAGGGGGGGAAATTTAGCGTAGGGGGGCAAAATTATAGCAAAGACGGCCCCTACGCTACTTCGCACTAGCTAGAACCCTGTAGTGCAAAATATAGGTATGGAATAAAAATTAACATCCTAATTACTAAACAATAAGGGCTAGCAAGTCTTTGATACATGTACAATGTTATGATCATGAAGATGTAGGCATAAGCATGCCGGCAGAAAGTACTGCAAAATGCAAAATATCTGTTTTTTTTCACAGTTTTTGCTGGATATTTGGTCAATGTTGTCTCAGAATCGAATTGAAGACAATACCCTTAATGACACAACATTTGAAAACAATAGACGGGACATCATCTTAAGATATGCACATACGACCTTAAACAAGACATTCTACCAAATTGCAATATATGCACAATACATTACAGGTTTCAGACAGGCACAGTACTTTCTGCCGACATACTTGTAGCATAAAACTAGAATTATTATCTTATGTTTGTTACCATTCACCCTTTGCAATGAACTTGGCTTCAATCATCATTCACTGTACCATGACAAATACAGTGTACATCTGACTTCATACTTGGCTTTTTGTGACCAGAAATTGTGCAAAATGAAATCTAATGCTTTTCTTTGTCTATTAATGTTTAAGTTTCAAAGTTGAGGAACAAATATTGCTACTACCCCCTCCCCCACCCCACACTTAGCAAACGCTGTTACATATTAACCAGTCTGGGAGTGAACCGGTGCAGTGCCATTGTTTTGGGGATACAGACGGTTGCCAACAACGTATTACGTAAACAGTAATGTTGACGTTGCACGATGTATATGTATACCAATCCATTTACCCTTTGTAATGTGCTTGACACCAAATACTTAACACGTTCACTGTACCATGAAAAATGTCCACACCTGTCACAACAATAGGCGTGGCATTCAGGGTAACGTTTTGCAAAGTTACTTACAGAAGGGTAAATCTTATCGCTCAGGTGCAGCCAGGAGTTCTGTATTTTTAAGGTGAGTATTGGGGATGTGATAATTGGGGACGTATGAACTTCAAATGTGGGTAGCACATACATTGTAACCATGGTGCATGGTACATAAGTACAAATGTACGTACTGTGTATACATTTGTACATAGATACGCAGGCATTGTCAAAAGTGAAAGCAGTTCCCCTAGCTAGAACAAACCCACTGAAGCCCCTGTCACACGTTCAAGGCCTTTCCCCAAATGCCAGCTGAATTTTTGAAAGCACTCTGACCATGCCTACCTTTCTATATGAATCGAAACGAATTTCAGTTAAATTTTTAGTCATATTTGACCCCTGAACACACTTGATAAGCTATCTTCTTCCTCTGGCTACTCAGAGAGCAGTCACAGCGGCCACCATCATCATGTCTGTCATTGGAGTTACAGGGACAAAGGAGAATCAAAAGGAAGCAGGGTAGGTCCTTCACGTAGCAGCAAGGTTATGTTTTCGATATTGTTCGAGTTTGTGTGTGTGTGTGTGTGTGTGTGTGTGTGTGTGTGTGTGTGTGTGTGTGTGTGTGAACACGAGAACTCGAGAAGGCTTGGATAGATTGTCTTGATACTCTCTAGCTATATATAGGTGGGTAGGTCTGAATAATCATACCTCGAAATTTTTTTTAATATCGAAAGATATTTTATGTTTAAGGAGACCTAATTTGAATAATTAATGTGGAAAAGATATGACTCCATAGTGGTAACAGCCAGAAATTTCTGAAATAACTCATGCAAATAAGGAATCGATCTTATTTGCCATAATCAATGAGAGACAATTCATAATTCGTCACAAAAAATATGAAGCGACAGGGCGAAAAAAATAAAATAAAAACAGGGTTAGGCATCCTATTATAGCTCCAAATGCAACGATATTTAAACAATAAATGTTGAACTTTTAATCAAACCACTGCATTGATAGATGGAAAAACGTAAACAGCTAGGAAGAAAAAGACTTTCCTCAACTGTTGGGGGCAAAATATTTTTCAAACATCCTTTGGCGAAGACACGAGATACATGTAGTTCTTTGGTATGCTTTATTTGCAATACTATTTTTTAACCACACTGTTGCTCTTGATTTGGGACATGTCTTGTGAAATTTGATTGTCAGATGATCCTACACATTTATCCGTACAGCGGCAGAGGGAATGAAGCATTTGTTGATGATGAAGATATTCTAGTCAGCGCTTCAACTGAGCAGACTGATACTTCAGTGATTTCCAAACAAAGGTACGTACCACAGCTAAGCAAACAATCCTGTAAATAAAAATTGATGTATTTTCTGGATATCAACAAATTTTAGGTTCCGCCGGGCTTCACCTTGTTTAATTTACAAAATGTATACATTGTCAATCTCTTGTTGTCTCGGGCGCTACATTGTACATGTTGTATAATTATGTACTATAGGTCCCTCTGGCAGTTGACAGTTGGGGCTAGGAATGAAAACGAAAGTGAAAGTGATCTCGAGCCAGTTTAGCTCACCAAATTAAGAACTTATCTACCAGTTGTAACAGGGTAGACAGACCCTATGTACAGTATTTTACAGGTTCATTGTACCGGGGAAATTCCCCTAGCTGTTTTTGACAAGCACAATGAACAGTGGACCACAGCTTGTAATGTCCGGTCCTAAGGACTGCGACCCTTAACAATAGCGGGTGAGCGACAACAGTCGGGATTCGAACTCCCAACCTCTTAGTCCAGAGGCAGGATCGCTAACCACTGGACTACGTACGCACGCTACTGTGCAAATTTAGTCTAGGCTTACTGGCTACATAATTATACATTTTGTACTTTGTACTTTTACATGACATGGCCTTGGTTCAATGCAGGCACAAGCGCAAGGATACCAATACGTCCTACCAGGCAGCGGATCAGTCATCAGAAGTGACAGATGTCAAGGTGACAGTGATTGATGAATCAGATAAATCGCCTGATAAGGAGGTAGATGACACTACACACCAAGGGGACACTTCTCAGAGGTACATGTAATCTTATTATTATTATATACAGTATATTGGCTACAGTATATACTGTATATTGACTATAGTAGTACAATGTACGTACATGTTCATGTACTTGTAGTTTCGATGATTCAGCACCACTGTACAGCAAGGCCATGTTGATTTGATTATAGAATGGATAGCATCTGCGCGTGCATGAATTTTAACCTGTTTCCAAAACAAGTTTTCAACCATACTGTAGAATGAGGAAAATAAGGAGATCTAATGCAAAATGAGAGAATCTTTACCGTAAATTGAAAAAAAATATTGGAAAACGATTACTAAATGCCAAAATCGATTCCAGAGGAATAGAAGAAAATGTTAAGACTCTATGAAGAGTCTATCATTTGCCATACTTTACTGTGTGTTTATTCATTTGTTCAACTTTCATGACCATGTACTAAGATTATATAATGCAGGCAACTTTTTTGGCCAAAGCTTTTTTTTTGCCAAAGCACACTCGCATCAGTTTTGGGGATACCAAGAGGATGTTACCCACGTTATCGAATCAACATGGCCTAAATGATAAAACTAAACATGTCGCCATACCAATGTTTTTTAAAAGCCAGCCCTGTTACATCCTTGGTCGCAAATGGTCATTAAGACGTGAGTAGAAACTGTATCCTTCAATGAATCAATATTGCTATGTACATGTAAAAAGCAAACAACAGGTTTACATTACAATCATTATGACGGGGTTACTATAACGTTTTTCAGGAGTGACGACCAAAGCAACGTTACAAGTAAAACCGAAAAGACCACAGATCACCACGATGCCGGTGAGGAAGGAGACCAACAGTCGCACAACACCGACACAAGCTGTGGGCCAACTGCAGACAACCGCGACCCAGAAAATGGCCAGAAAAGTTCAGAAACCCCCGGCCTCGAGAAGCGTTTTGCCACTCACATCATCGCCGTTATCTGTCTCCTACTTTGCATCAGTGCCTGCATAGTCGATATTGTCAAAATATTTCTCTCAGTCTCATGCCTCTGGGGTCTCTCACCCGATGTGGGTGATAGAAACTTCACAGTTCATGCAAAAAGGAACAAAAATGTCACTTGTGACCCGTACGAATCCCAGGAAAACATACCATACAATCTAATTGACCTCCTACTTTCGTTACAACCGATCGTTGTAATAGTTCTCTGGAAGTACGGAGACATTGCTGCGAGAATAGACAAATACGAGAAAAAGAGGTTGAACAAAAAAGCCAAAAAAGAGCAGTACTACCGCCGGCGTCGCACCGGTTATTTCGTTATGATTACTATATCCCTGTTTTTCCTTCTTCACTGTATAGAGTGTGCAACCTGCTCATTTTCAAGTTCAACCATTTTCTTTGGCACATTGGTGCGGGCTATACCTAAAAAGTTTTGCCCGTGGCTAAGCCTTCTGTTCCATCTCGTATTCCCAGCATACTGCCTGTACTGCTGGTACGCCACCAAAATGGCGTGTGTGCTCCGTCGTCGAGCGGACTACATCCAAAAATTCATTGGCGAGAGATCTTCCACCATTTTCGATAAACACGTGCGGCATCCTGATGTCATTCTGAGCGAGCTTAACGACAACATTTTCCATGACGATTGGCACAGCGAGGTTTGGGAGAACATTTCGTTCCTCATGAACATCATGATGTTTTTCAGTGCGACGTTGGTACTGCTATACACCCACGTTTACGTATCCGAAGTCCGCCTTACGCTAGGAGAGTGGGCAACTCACTTCATGCGGCTTGTTGCAATAGCTACCCTCTCCGTTACACCGTACATACATGTCGCGTTTGCCTGCGTTCGTGTAACCGAAGCGTACAGCTACATCACGGAGAGCATGAGTAGCGCATTCCAAGAGTCATACAGTCCTCATTCGGTCCAAGAATCGCACGAAAATTCCTTAGACATTTCGCAGGAACCTGATATTGAGATTCACAGTCCAAGAACTCGGAAGAAGAGTGGAGACGGGCAAAAGATGCTCGAACGACTGGAGTATCTGATCCAATGGCAATTCCTACAGAGTAAGGTGTATAAAAAGTGTAAAGACGGGTTGACATCTGGAATATTGGGTACGTCATACACTACCCGCAGCGGTGTCCACTTGGCTGCGCTGGGCGTCATCTTTGCTATGACATGGGAAGTTCTGGACCGTTTCAATGACTTTGACGTGGAGAGAGCAATGGCGCTCGGGAACACGAGACAAGAAGCTTTCATAGTGACTCTCTTTGGTGTTCTTGCCTTTCTGCTTTGGATCTCAGTTTTGAGTATCCTTTTGTGCTACCGTTTGAAGCCCAAGATGTGTGATTGCACGAAGTGTACATGTCTTGCACCACATGCAGTATACAGAAGACTAGGCCTGTGCATACTGCTTACAATTCTTTACTTCGTTATCATGTACGTGTCTTTCTATTTGGTTGTTTATCAGGATAATTACTGTTCCAGTTCGTCCAACCCTCTGTTTACATGACAAAACAAGAACTAACACAAGATGTACATCTTAAGCAATAGGCTACAACTATTGTACAGTAGCATGTAGCTATTTCACATTGATTTTACAGTGCATCCAGTGTTCTTTTATTAGCATGAAAGGTCATCTGTACGTGACTGTGTTTTTGGCAAATTCCATTTATTCAGTGAAGTTGTATTATAATGTACGTGTGTTTTTGGTAAATTCCATGATGATAGTGAAGTTGTACATTATATGTGTGTTCTTGGTAAATTCCATAGTGAAGTTGTACATGTGTTTTTGGTAAATTCCCTGGTCCAAGACATGTACTGTCATGTACTGTCAAGACATGTACTGTCATGTACTGTCAAGACATGTACTGTCATGTACTGTCATGTACTGTCAAGACATGTACTGTCATGTACTGTCATGTACTGTCAAGACATGTACTGTCATGTACTGTCATGTACTGTCATGTACTGTCAAGACATGTACTGTCATGTACTGTCATGTACTGTCAAGACATGTACTGTCATGTACTGTCAAGACATGTACTGTCATGTACTGTCATGTACTGTCATGTACTGTCAAGACATGTACTGTCATGTACTGTCATGTACTGTCATGTACTGTCAAGACATGTACTGTCATGTACTGTCAAGACATGTACTGTCATGTACTGTCATGTACTGTCATGTACTGTCAAGACATGTACTGTCATGTACTGTCATGTACTGTCAAGACATGTACTGTCATGTACTGTCAAGACATGTACTGTCATGTACTGTCATGTACTGTCAAGACATGTACTGTCATGTACTGTCATGTACTGTCATGTACTGTCAAGACATGTACTGTCATGTACTGTCATGTACTGTCAAGACATGTACTGTCATGTACTGTCAAGACATGTACTGTCATGTACTGTCAAGACATGTACTGTCATGTAGTGTCATGTACCTTATTACAGTCTGTCAGGAACCCTCCTGGAACCTCCTCTGGATCTTCTGGGTGCTTGTGCTTGAATCTGGAAGACATGATACATTGTATATGTATATCAGCACTAGAATGGTACCACTCAATCAGACAGCTATGACAATTTGTCAATCAGACAATCACATGTATTTTTATTTCAAAACACATGTAAGAAGAGCAGAAAATGTCATCAAAATTCTGAGTCCATAAAAATTCATTCCAGTTTTTTGCCTTTAAGGATTGAACACTTACAGCCTCTCGTACAGGCGTATCTCACAGCTGACAGGTTCAGACACCCAGTGGATGAAGGCCTTGGGTTTCTCAGCCTGGTCTGCCTTCTGACATGTCACCTTCAGTTCAGTCAGCTCTCCCTTCTTGTCCTGTGGAAAGACACAAAGTAATGTTATGTTACCATTTTAGTTGACAACTGATGCTGTAGCAGACACTATGAGGAGTTGAGTTGGATTATATTAGGCCACACCATGTAATTTTTGTTAATGACATCCTCTGGAGACCCTAAATCTAATGCAAGAGCGCACAAAAAACAAGGAGGCAGAAAAACACAAGATGTCTATATTTAAAATATAACTAAGAGACGACAAATGTTATATGGACACAAATTGAATGAGAGAACCAACCAACAAGTCTTCTATGCATCATGAAAACAGAAATAAATCAGTGGAACAGCAGCTGTCGTCCTGTGCTGTTTCTTTCCTTTCCTCACATCTTCCAATCTTGCAATTAGCGGCACTGTGGTGACTCTTTGGTCATGCTTACAGGAAGAGGAATTTCTCTCTTTTTTTTTTTCTCTGAGAACAGGCCAAAATCAATGCGCATGGGGACATCATCCATAAAAATTACTAATGTTGGTTTGGCCTTATGTAGAAAGTTGGAGGGGCTCTTCACCATAAATAAGAATCCATTTTCGTAAGAATAAACCAGTGGAGCAATAGTTTGTTGGGCTAGACCGTGTGAAGGTACTTGTTTGTACATGCACTGTATACATTTGTACACAATGCATGATTTTGGTTAACTTTGCAAAATTTAATGTTACTTTTCTAGCTTATGCCCACTTTTCATATTCTTGTCAATACTTTTCAGCAACTTCAAGGTTCTTCTAAATTATAAAGCTCTCCTGAGATATCTAGAGTTTCTGTCATCATCCATGTCGTCAGTGTCCTTCCTTACCTTTACCATAGACTCCAGTTTTATGACGTATCCAGCATGCCTCAGTCCTACAGGCTGGTCTGGGGTAAGCCGACGATAGCCCTTCTCCATGTTCTAGCACAAGAAAAATGGAAAGCAACCATAAGCTTAAAGTGATAGTAAATGAGATTTTTTGCGCCAAAACTGTGTTGAAATTTCTCATATAGATTGTCATTTTCAATAACTTATTAGCATCGCTATTTTGCTTCATCAGCAACTTTCATCAGCAACAGTTGCACCAGGCCCGCTGTATTTTTAGGAGGCTCCTAAAAAGAATGTAAACAAACAGCCATTTTTGTTTGGCAAGTATCGGCAGCTTCAACATATTTTGCGGCACAACGATGTTGATTTTTTACTCCCGGGATTCCCCAATATCATTATGAACCCTGGTAGGCTTATAGCGCAAGAAAATGTGTAAAACAACGATGTTTAAAATAGTATAAATCATACAGTTATAATATCACTTTAAAAAATTGCTGCACAGCAAATCAGAATGATGTTTACTACTGTAACAGAAAACACACTTTAAAAAGCCATTTTTGTGAAAATCACCAGACTTGCCTCTTTAAAGTCAGTCTTCTCAATGTAGAGTGTCTTGGCAAACTTGACCTTGTGTGACCCCTTGCTGGGCTCAGCTGGGAAGTCTGGGACATCAATGTCTATGGCCTGGAGGAACAAGTTGTCAATTAAAGGTTGGAAAAATCATGGTATTGACTAACAAGATTAATACTATAATAGTAAGAATAACCTTGTTATGATCAAGGATTTGTTATGATTTAAATTATTGTTTATGATTTATTGTTATGATCAAGGATTTGTTATGATTTAAATTATTGTTTATGATTATTGTTATGATCAAGGATTTGTTACGATTTTAATTATTGTTTATGATTATTGTTATGATCAAGAATTTCTTATGATTTGAATTATTATTTATGATTATTGTTATGATCAAGGATTTCTTATGATTTTAATCATTGTTTATGATCATTGTTATGATCAGCTATGAAAAGCTATGTAAATTTGTTCATACATGTTTCAAAAAGAGAGAGGAGATCATGTAGATAGATCCTGTAGTTAGAGACGTAGCACAGAAGTATAACACTTGTTACTTATATACCTGTACCTATAATTATAGCACAGAAGTATAACACTTGTTACTTATATACCTGTACCTATAGTTATAGCACAGAAGTATAACACTTGTTTCTTCTATACCTGTACCTATAGTTATAGCACAGAAGTATAACACTTGTTTCTTCTATACCTGTACCTATAGTTATCCAGCTTAATGCATTTGGCCCATGTAGGGCGTGGATATGCAATAAAGTTCATTGTCATTGTCATTGTCATTGTCATTGTCATTGTCATTATGATCATGGATTTCTTATGATTTGAATTATTCTGTTACAGTAATGGATGGTTCAGTGTATGTATTGCTTACATATGAATAAAAAAAATCAAAAAGCAAGAAAAAGAATAACCTTGGCCATTTCATTATCAAACACGATAAAGTCATCAGCTGATACATGTACATGTATGTTAATAAAAAGGAAAAACATTTACCAAGCATACATTGTAGTGCCCTTGGACACATACATTTATGTAGAATTTTGCTAGACCCATACCAGCTAGTAATCTTATTATCTACCATACATTGTACCTGCTACAATTGTTGTGCAATAAACGTTGAGTACATTTTGTATAAAGCTTGTCACACATAGCTAAATATGGCCTCCTGAACACTACCAAACTCCTCCAACCATGGTTAGGAGTACAAAATGTATGTTGGGAGCAAGGGCAGCTGTGGTTGGCTGGTGTTTGGCAAGGTCGACTACTGTTTGGCTGTTGTTTCAAAAGGTTTAAAACATTTGGATGTCAGTGGGAGGTTTGGCCATGGTTGGATGGTGATTGGCTTGAGTTCAGGGCATGGTTGGGAGTCAACTTCGACTCAAATTTAACTCAAATTCAAGAAGGCATGGCCTCTGTGTGCAAGTCTGGTCTGACTGCTCCAAAACTCCAGTCAATCTTGGTTGGTTGGTGGTTGGGGGAAGGTTCTGAATGTGTGATGGGGGCTTATTACTGAAAGACAATATAGAGACTGAATACACTACCTTATCTGAGGGGAAATTTGTGATGGTGACTTTCAGTGGTTCCATCACTGCCATGGCCCTGAAGAAAACAAGACTCATACATTTGTTTGCTAAACATAATCACAGTCATAATCATAGTGTAATTATATAAGAGCCGTTATACATTTGTAAGTTCACTGTAAAAGTAACTTTGATAAAATGAAGGATTATTGTAAGTTTGTCCTAAATCCAGCGTAATGCAGGGATCAAAATTTATTTTTCTACATGTAATTGTACATTTGTACAATCATCATGTACATTAGGTGCACCAAATAAATTTTAGGTGCACTGTCAACATAAAACAAGGTAAAATATTAACAATACCAAATTACCAACCTTAGTGGTTAGTTATCTTGTGAACTTAAACTCTAACTTCAAAATGTCAAACAAGTAGTGAATGAAAGATTTTTCATCATTTTTGACACACTATTGTTGGCAGTGCAGTGTATTGTACTTTGACTGTAGATAACTTACAAACATTTTAGGTGCATCAGTGCATCCACAGTAAAAAAATTAGGTGCACAGCTCCAATTTTAGGTGTACAAAAGTACAAATATAATGTACCCACTATTTCGAGCCCCGTAATGGATGGGACTGGGTGCCATCCTCTGTACCTATTGTCACTAGCTACCATGGACTACGGAGGATGTCACCCAGGCCAGAGCCTCGGAGGAGGTGATTTTTTTTTAGAACAGGCAAAAATCAATGCACGCGCAGATATGTCATCCATAAAATTAAATCAGTGTGGCCTCATGACAAACATGGTACATTTGTACATGTAGACATGGTTCCTCCACCTTACCTGGGTGCTGTGACGTTCAGCTCATCTCTCACACAGGACTCCAGCAGGGTGGGGTCTATGGTCACCTGGGCCATGGTCACACCAACCTGACAACAAACAAACAAACAAACAAACAGTGTCAACAAACTTACATCATAATGCTTTTATATGGGTTATGTTGCGGCCACATAGGACGGTAAGTTTTGAACCACTCACACTGAGAAGGACCCTTGCTCTTTTCAGTAACTGCAGTACTAGTGGCCTATCCTCAAACACCTTCATATTTCACGTCCTATCTGAGGGACGTCCCTACCCAATGCTACATGTAGGTACCTGTCTAGCTCTAGCTAGTTTCATCAGGTTGGTAAGACACTGAGTAAAGAGACTCTTTTTACACAACCAAGTCGTTTTATTCAGTCAGAATTGCCCCGAGGAAGGTGACAGACAGTTCTTTACTTTTGTACTCACCTGATCATGACTGGAGGAAAATTGTGTTAAGTGCCTTTTGCAGGTGATAAAATACTTTGAAAAACTTTGAAGTTAAGTTAAGTGTCCTACCTTAGCACAGAAGTTGTTGATGGCTTCAGGTGGGAACCCTCTCCTCCTGAGAGCTGTCAGGGTGAACAGGCGGGGGTCGTCCCAGTCCCTGGGGACGACAAACAAGACATGCTTTTTACTAAAACTGGCTGGGTTGCCTGTTGGGTGGAATGAGTGTGATGACAATGTTTCACTCATGACAAATAGTTGGCCGCCTTGCATGGTGATTTAAATCGTAAATGTAACAATTAACTCAAAAATCAGGAGAACACCAAAACTATTACAGTCATCTAGTGGGCTATATCACTCAACAGCATGCATAGAGCAAGGAGGTTCAAAAAGAGCCTCCTTGCATACAGTAAGTCGGATCAACTTCAAAAGAGATATGGCATGAATTGTGTGTGATGTTGTATGGCTATATCTACAAGATCTAAGCAAGAATGCAAAGAGATCGATGACAAAGGGATGCCTCTGCTAGATTTAAAAAAGAAAATAGTAAACATTTTGACTCAAAATTTTGACAGTTTTGACAGAATAGATACCACAGTCTTTATTTTCCTGCCATACCAAATTTATGTTAAGAATCTAAAGCTGTCAACAATATTAACTGATTGAATGCTGTAAGAAAAGTAAACACAATAAATCAATGTACCAGTAGATAGCTTTAAACAGCTCACCTAACGATTCCTTCAGTGATGAGCTTGACGATCTTCCTCTTGGAGACGACAGTGTAGTACAGGTTAAGTCGGCCATACTCCCACTGTACAGGACAGTACACGTCCAGGGCATTACACAGCCAGTAGTAGGAGGAGCGCCTGGGGGGAAATACACGTGTTAATTTTGTTTATTTAGGCCACACCAATTTAATTTCTCGGTCAATGGATTTTTCTACAAAAATAATGGAGCAGGTGGGCGAAAAAAAATAAAAATAAAAACAGGTCTAGGCATCCTATTATGGCCCAAAATGGTACGATAGGAGCCATGAAGTCAACACACCAGGCTGGTTCAAAATTTAAACAATATAAAATACCACTGCATTAAAAGATGGAATAACTGTAACAACTAGGAAGAAAAGGGCTGTTTTAAACTGTTCAGGGCAAAATATGAGCATTTTGCAGTTGATTCTGAATTTTTTATTTTTCTTTTTTTTTTGCAAATCATTAAGAAATGGAGTGGGCAAATCCGTTAACCAAGAAATTAAATTGGTGTGGCCTTATTGTTTTTTTCTGTTTGCACTTGAAAAAAACAAGTCAGTATGTTGTGAATTATGTAGAAGGAATGTGTGTGAGGGGTTCCCCTTAAATACAATTGATTAAAATATATAATTTTGTCATGGGTAAACTTTGATTTTATAGTTTTAGCTATATGTGACAGGGGCCTAACCTATTATTAGTACCTTACCACTGTGATAAACAAAGTACCTAGGGACTAATACATGTACAACTAGTTTCTTACAGTATTTTGCTATGTAAAATAATTATATAGTGTCTGAAGTAGATGTGTATCTAACTTTAACTCAAGTTTTAGCAGTTGCCTTACCTTGCCTGAAACTCCTTGGTACAGAGTGAGTGAGTGATGTTCTCCAGGGAGTCACACAGACAGTGGGTGAAGTCATAGGTGGGGTAGATACACCTGTGGGTGAAAATAGGTACTGCATAATTAATAAGGTATTTTGAACAAGACAGAATATCTACAACTATAAGGTATGATAATCAATCCTTGATTACACATCCTTTTCTTTGCTATACATGTATCATAAATATGATAATCAAAAATGGCAGTTAGTGAGTTAGGCTCTTAGCTTTCTATTGATGTATAACGTATTGGGGGTATTTTGAGGGGTATTGGGGGTAGGAATTCAAGGAGCCGTAAACTACATGTAGTAAAACAAATTTCAAAACAGTATCCCCTATTGTAAGGTAGTATGGAAACCCCAACACAGATAGCATGTAACGCACAGAAACAAGGTTTAATACCGTAACAGTAACGGTAAATCACAATTTTTTCATGGTACTTTTATATTCCCAGTTCCACTTCTATACCACTAATTTAACATTACAGTGAACAAATAATTCGCAGACTTTCTTTTTTTTTCTGCACCTGTCACAACCGCAAACTTATAGTTCTACAAACATGTCCAGTTTTCACAGACAGCAAACTTTGACTACCGCAAAAATACGTTTAATTTTATTTTTGTAACGTGATTTACATGGACATGTCCTACGACTCCCACCCGACCACACTACACGGGCTATGACCTGAACTTCAGCCCCCAGTCCGCTGGGTGGAAGAGACCTCGGGGGGGCCCCCGCACCCGCTGGTCGGACGTCCTGGCCAAGGATCTGGCCTTGGTCAACATCACCCCTGAAGAAGCACAGGGGCTCGCCCAGGACAGACCGAGATGGAGGGAGGTGGCCTGCCTAGTAGGCTCCACGGACATCGTGCAAGAGGACTGAGTGAGTGAGTGAGTGAACGTGATTTACAATACTCACCACTCGTCTCCCGTCCTGTGGTGAGGTGTGAACTTGATCCTGTAGGCCACAGGGTCCACCTTCCCATCCTCCATGATATGTTTCATCCTAACCGTCGCCTCACCCTCCGCTATCTTACCTTTCCTCATGTCCTGGTGTAAACAAACAAACAAACAATCAAAATTTTCACCGGTTACCTTTCCTCATGTCCTGGTATAAACAAACAAGTTCAGGCTCAGTTCAGTTCAGTTCATCACTTCAATGGTCTGCATTCTGCTCTCAGATACCAGAATCAGCTATCTGGTGAGATTGGGTGGAAGGAAACAGGGGACAGCCATCCTGCAGCAAAGTATTGATTGTACTGGTGACAACGCAAGCGAAAGCCAGTTCTATAATCAAATTATGGTGTTCTCTTCGAAATGTCCCCCCTGAGACATAAGCAGTTCGTGCGATCAGTGAAAGGTCTGGTCTGTTGTTCAGTAAATCAATCAATCAATCAAAACAAAAAAGAAAAAGGTTATTGACAACAAAGGCTCTGCAGCAAAAAGTGTTTACAGTATAGTAGTGTCCAGTGGTTAGAATCTTTGCCTCTGGACCAAGAGGTTGGGGGTTCAAATCCCAGCTGTTGTTGCTTATCAAACATGCACGCTACTTTTAGGGTCGCAGTCCTTAGGAGACTGACATTAAGCCATGTACTTGTCGAAAAGAGCTATGTCCACCAGTTTATTAGTCATTTTGTACATCATACAATATACAGTGTAGTCTGAACAGTTTTCAACTGTCTTCCAGTGACCCAAACTGTAGGTTTCTTTTAATTTCCGTTACACTAGCACCCCTACCTCAAACAGCCTGAGTGACTCCTGGATGGGCCTGTTTCTCCAGGGGGAGGGGGGCGGGTTGTGACCCCGGATCTCCTCCAACTTCTGGTGACACACGTAAGCCTGATCCCTGAACACAAACACAGGAAATAGTAATGAGAGGTGATGGAATTGGCTGGTACAGTTGTTGCAGTACACAGCAAAATGCATAATGTCTTTCTTCAGGCCACACCAATTTGAATTTCAGAAAAAATATGAAAGTTTATTGCAAATTCATGCCCGACGGGTAATTGCAAGAACATGATAAACATAAAAAATTAATGATAATAAGGAAAATTCAATGCTAAACCAGGTGATGCTACTTTGGATATACATTCGTAGTTAAAGTGTGCAGTAGAGTATGAATATAAAGCGACAGGGCAAAAAAATTAAAAACAGGCCTAGGCATCCTCTGGTAGCCCCAAAAGCTGCCATGATGTCAACATACCAGACTAGTTCATAATGCAAACAATAAATTTTAAAGTTGATAGATGGGAAAACTGTAACAACTAGGAAGACAAGGAGCTTTCGTCAACTGTTTGGGCCAAAATATGGGCATCTCGGAGTTGATTCATAACCTGAATTGTTTTTGTTTTTTTTTGCAAATCAGAAAAAAACTGGGAGAATCTGAGAACCAATAATTCATAAATTGGTGTGGCCTCAAATGGTCTAGTCCAACAAACTAACAGTTACTGGTCTTTTTATTCTTATTATTACTCAAACACATTCATATATTATGGTGACCAGTCCCTCCAACTCAGTCCTGCCACTTGCTACATAATGTAATCCAGCCCACCTCTTGATGAGCTCCACAGCCAGGGCATGCAGCTCATGGAAGTAGTCTGAGGAGTGGGTGATCTTCCATGGTTTGTAACCTGGAGAGGGAGTGGGTTGGAAAGGCGTAACATGTTAGACGTGGCACACCTTTTCCTGTTGTAATCTCTATACTCAGGTACTGGACTTAGTATTAATGAATCTGGTGAAAATGCCATATATATTATCATGATTATGAAAGTACTTTTTAACTAGAAAGGTAACATTTGCCAAGCAAATGCATAATGTTTTCCTTTGCATGCGGTCTGCTCTGTTAATTATTACTCTAACATGTACATGTACACATTCAAAATTGCAACATGATGCAACCCAACACTAGTTACCATGGTGACAGACGTCTGGTTCAGGTCATTGACCTTACATGTATGTGTTGGAGAAGAGGAAACTGAGCAAAAACAATATGTTTTCCTTTGGTAAACATAAAAAGCATGCTTTATTTATATCTATTTTCTTGCCTTCATTAGCAAGTGAACAGAAATTGTCACAGTTTCATAGTACTCTGCATTTAATGTTATTGAAATATTTGCCTGGATAATTCTTACTAATCTTAGTGTGAGAAATAGAATTATTAAAGATAAGATGAAGACAAGTGCATTAAAAATAATCATGTTCATTGTCCATGGAGAATTCTTGAGAAATGGTAGTACAAACTACAGAACTGACCCAGCCACTCCACCATCTCCCTGATGCCGGTGAAATATTTCTCCTCCTCCTTCTCAGGGTTGGTGTCATCGTACCTCAGGTAGCACACGCCTCCGTTAGCCTGGGAACAGCAAGGTATAGCAGGGTTATGAAACAGCAGCAGGGTCATGTCAGGTAAAGCAATAGTAGCAGGATCTTTAATTTGTCATGAGTACTAGTAGTAGGGTTGGAACAGCAGCAGGGTCAGGTCAAGGAACAGCAGCAGGGTCAGGTCAAGGAACAGCAGCAGGGTCAAGTCAAGGGACAGCAGCAGGGTCAGGTCAAGGAACAGCAGCAGGGCCAGGTCAAGGAACAGCAGCAGGGTCAAGTCAAGGAACAGCAGCAGGGTCAAGTCAAGGAACAGCAGCAGGGTCAAGTCAAGGAATAGCAGCAGGATCAAGTCAGGTTAAGGGACAGCAACAGGGTCAGGTCAGGTCAAGGAACAGCAACATGTCAAGACAGGTCAAGGGGCAGGTATATACATGTATGTAACAGTAGTAGGGTCATGATGCCAGGTCAAGGAACTGCAGTAAGGTTATGTCAGGTAAAGTGATAGCATGGTTGGGTCATGTCAAGGTACAGCCAAGAAAACAAAGCTAACACTGTGTACATGTACATGTATATGGCTGCTCACCCGTGCATAGCCGAAGTTGAAGTTGATGGCCTTGGCATGTCCGATGTGCAGGATGCCATTGGGCTCAGGTGGAAACCTGGTCCATACCTGGAGAGACAGTAGTTTGTTGAGCTGGGCCATGTGAAGGTAAACATGATACATTTGCTTTGCAAATGTTACCCTAAAGTCTCTAGTTGTTAACTCTTTTTGACTGTTTACTACATAGAAAAGCCATTACCTTTCCCTCCACTGCCTTGACATGTTCCTTCAGTAGTTCCATGGTCATGGGTGTGACCACATAACCTTCTGTTTTGTAGTTCTCACCTACATGTAGTACAGAATTTGAAGAAAACAGTGCATTAGTCTCTGAGGTCAACATGTCTCTGAAATATAAAATTGTAGTGAGCAGAAGACTTTATCAAAATTTAAATTAATCATAAATTTCTTGTGTATCCCTTATGATACACAACAAGAAAAAACAAAGATACATGTACAAAGAAAAAAACTGGATTATCTGGACCCCATTAATGAATAATAATTATACCAGAAAACAATATAATTATACCTTCCTGCAAAAAGATCTAAAGCTTTAGACTCAGTGAAAGCAATGTTACATTTGTACTTTTATCCAGCATGGTTGAATAGAAAATAATGCAAAACTTAAAACAAAGTTGGCAGCAATCTCATTGTCACATTTTGAAAGGAACTTTATGAATTATCACTATTTATTTTCATTGACACTCATTAATTCAATGACACAAATATTAATTATTTCACTCCATACTTTAGTATGGAGGGAAATACTGTTTTTACTGATGATTCTCCTCCTCCTTCTTCTTCTCCTCCTGCCATTTCTTTAAATTGATTCAATTCCTTCATTTTTGGGCCAAACGATCTGGAATTTCGTATAAAGGTAGAGTGGGTAAATACCCCTAGGCGTTTTTTTATTTTTTTTGATACAAGCTTTTACAATCGTTTTATTTGCGTTTTTAGCTGTTCCCATAGGAAAGTACTGTGGGGCGTACGCGCGTGACGTAATAAGAAAGGAATTCGGGGGCGGGCCCAAATATGGGCATGCAAGCATGAACCTGACGCAGCCTAATCTTTTCTTCTTGCTGATTGGCTGTTGGATTTGATTGGATTAACTCAATTAACACCTGTTCAAAGCCATTCCATTTTGACAGTATGAACTCAAGTGTTTTGGTAGGTACAGCACAGGCCACGAAATACGCATCAATTTTCGAGGGACGTTCTGCGGGAGAGTGCAGGACACTGTGCGGGACTTCCCTCGGGAGAGTGCGGGACGTCCTCCGGGAGAGTGCGATACGTTCTGCGGGAGAGTGCGGTACGTCCAGCGGGAGAGTGCGGTACGTTCTGCGGGAGCCAGACATTTTGCTCTTCTCTGTTGGAACAACGCAAGTTGGAGGTCAATGACCTGCGCCCGGCGTGTAAACAAGATTGGACAGGGAGCGGCTGTAATATCAAAGGAGCCGGCGGCTTCTGCTAGCCGGGTTGATAGTTAAGTAACATCAAGGTGGTTCAAAAGCAAACCTGATAAAGAAGGAAACCCCGTAGTTAATAGTTGAAAGTCTTGGTGGCTTGAGGCGATCGATACCGCCATGCTGTTTACTTTATATGACATACAATGCAGTGAGTGATATGTATCGCAACGAGTTAGCTCGGTTGGTAACGCGCCAGACGGCAATCCCAGAAATTGTGAGTTCGAACCCCAGTGCATCGGATATTAACATTTTAAACAATTTTATCATTTTTAACAATTTTATCAGTTTTAACAATTTTATCAGTTTTAACAATTTTAACAATCCTGCATTTTAACAATTTTCAACTATTTTTTTTTTTGATTTTCGTTTTTTGCTTTTAACATTCAAAAACTGATTGTTCTTACTCAAGAATGTCAATAACTTAGAATGTTAGTCTTTTGTATTTTTCCAACATACAAACCAAAATCACTTTGATGTTGTCACAAAAGTATGGAGCTGACAAGAGAGAAGGAGTACGGTACTCTGCCAGTGTGAAGAATCTACAGAGGTATTACCAGTCACTAGTAGCAAGAGATAGACCACATTGAATGATGACGATGAGGACGAATCATATGGAGTACTATCATAGCTTAGTACAGAAATTCTACTGCTTTACTTTACTTTACTTTCTTTCACTCTGTACATGCAATTAGCTCACTGGCATGATTTTAAAAATAAAGGTTATGATAATCATATTATATGTATAGCTTATTCAATGTATGGCTTCATAGTTTATGTGATTGTTAATAAGGCCATGTTGATTTGATTGTATGGATGGCATCTGTGCGCGCATCGGTTTTCGTTAATTTAAAACTAAGTTTACGACATTCATACAAAACATCTGGAAACTAAGCAAACATACTCTGTAAATTGATTACTGTAATTCCCGATTTTTTTTTCACTGTACCGCAACGTAACGCAAGCAGGAGGTCAATGTTCACGGTTTTCACTGTCACCTCTGTACTGTGAACTTATCTTTACAGTTAGGAAATAATTCCTGGACTTTCTTTTTCCTGCAACTGTCACCACCGTGAATATATAGTTCCGTGAACATGTCCATGTTTCTCAGACCGTGAAAATTTTGCTACCGTTAGTAGTAGTTGCAATTTCGTCATTAGTAGTATTTAGATACCTGCAATATGTAACTTTGAAATTGAGATAAGTGTAAAGTAAAGCTGTCGAGATTTAAAGTGCTTGTCGTTGTATCTTTGTAAAAAAAAGGGAGATAATGGCCAAGTGCCATTTTTGTAAATATCTGTCGAGATTCAAAAAGCTTGTCCTTGTATGATTGCAGTATGATTTATTCAGAATCTTCTATTTTTGTGTGGGGAGGGAGATGGAGTGAAATATTACATTTGCTCCGAAGCAAATGTTGGCCTTTCTAGTATTATCTAGTTCTGTGATGATGTTGGGTGATGACCTACCAGTTTTGTGGAAGTTCACAGCATGACCCCTCAGTTGTTCCATCAGTGACCTGGTCTCTATATTGCAATCAGAATTTGAAACATAACAGAGTTATTGAAACTGAAAATTAGTCATTCTTGCATAAAAGAATAAAAACAAATACTAACAGTTACAAAACCTATATCAACTTCATGCAAAGAACACCAAAATCTCATGGCTGCTTCAATATGTTTAAACAGTAACCAGACATTTTTACTGTTCCTTTACTGTTTTTTTCTAATTCATCCCAAAATTTATTATGTGCAAGCAGCAGTTAATGGGCTGATGCCATCATTGCATTGCTTAGTGAAGGCCCCAAAATTGTTAGTTTATACCGGTATCTTTAAAAATCCTTCTATTTCCTTGAACATTTTGCTCCAGTCTGGGTACTCTGGGGCTAGTAAGAACAGGTAGGGTCTAAACTTTCCTGCTTTGGTTAAGTTTTGTTCATTTCACCAGTTTAGTGGGCGTAATGAGAGGCTGAGTGATGAGGTCTTTCATTGAAAGAATGGATGGATACATGAGAAATGAGGTCAAAAGTAGGGTTTACTGTTGTCAGAGATTTAGCTGGTCAATCCCGTTTTCTTGTTTATTTGGGAGGCAGACCTTTGTGATTTCAGTGTATTTACATGTAACTACAGCCTTCAATGGTCACAATAGTAACAATAGTTATCTGCTAAAATGAAGTAGCCCTGAGACTAAACCATCACCATACCTTCACCATTCATGCTAACACCAGACCCTGGAAAAAAAAGAGCACATAGTTATGATCACTACACAGGTATTTTTTTTAAAGTTGGAAAAAAATTTACCATTACTTAACAGTGACAGTTTAATTTTCAACCTAATTTAGTCTACTCTAAGAGCCCTAAACGACAACCAGGTACAATGTATAAACCATACTGCCAAGAAGGCAAAAAATAAGAAATTGTAAGAAATTATCTAAAGAAAATTGTGTTTGACTTACCCTCATCTTGAACAGCATTGACCATGTTTGCTAGTTTCTTGGGGACATTGTCCTTGCCTGTCTTAGCACCCTGTAAGGAAACAAACATTCTACATTATTGTACAAAATCTTTAACTGTTCTTCCCCACAATTTGCAAGTCGGAAACAACATCTATTGGGGCTTAAAGCCCCCAATTTTTTCTGCATTTTAAGGGGCAAATTGTACTGGTAGACTAAGTTTAGCTTAATGATAATTGATATCTCTTTCAACATGCCAATTTTTGTCCCTCAAACTACAAAAATGACAGATTGGGCAAAATTTATGTCCATCATGAGCAGCAAAATTCTGTCAAATGACAGAAAGATGGACTCTAGCTAGAACACTGCTGTTACTGTCATGGGATAAAAACTTAATCCAGCACAAACCTTGGCTTTTACTGGTTTCTCCTTGTCTGCATCAGTCTTTGGTCCGAGCAGGTCTAAAATCTGTTCAAAACATGATCAGAGAAAAGTGAAATACAGTACCGTTCGCGTTATAGTTAACCGGGTACCCCGTTACTAACGAGTTATTTTTTCGTCAGAAAATGGTTAGAAAATCGTCAGTATTTGGTTAGATTTTCGTCAGAAAATGGTTAGAAAATCGTCAGAAATTATTTCTAACGCGTTACCGTTTGCGTTAATGTGATAGGGTCGGATTTCATGTTTGTTTTGCGCGCCGACAAGACAATAGCAATTTGCCACCTCCTGGGGCGTCCGCTAATGTGTTGCGATGTTGCCCCTTGAAAAATAACAGCACCAGAGGCAAGTGGACATGTGATTCGTAAAATAACTTTGTGGTTTATCCATGTGTCGACTGTGTGAAGCGAATTGTGCTATCTTTTAATGCTATTCTATAGTTATTTCTAGCGGAAAACTACGTTGTGTAATACAATGTATGTCAACAAAGTGTTACAGTAGCAGTGGGCAGACGATGTCTTGTACATTTTGTACCAGCGGCGGCCTACCGCTCTCACAGGACGTCATGGGACGTGACGAAACAAGAAATATCTGCCGTAGAAGAAATATAAATCGGTAACTCATGCCTTAAATTCACGGCGGTTTTTGACACAAAAGAAAATTATTATAATTTTTGTAAGGCGCGCGGCTTACTAGTACTAGCGGCTTTAATACTCACGGTAAAATGTACCGTCACTCCCGGCGAAAGGACTCGGTTCGCCAGCTGAGGACTTTCCACAACCATGATGATATCATAGTTAATAAAGGAATATATAATAGATCTATCATGTTGAAATGATAATTGTAATACATGGTTCTATTTAATAGCGGTAGTTTTGTTTCTTATTTTGAGGGGGGAAACTGTCAAAAATCGAGGGAACGCAAACTGAGATCGGCTCACTTCCGGGTGCATAACGCCAAAATTTCTCGACGATTATATAAAAATGACCACTCATTTGCCGCCTACGGTAGCGTGTACATGGTAGTGCGATCATATCGTGCCAAAGTCAGCGTCAAACGTACAGAAAATCCCCGTAAAAATATAGTTGCAAACACATTTCCCGCGCACTCAGGGCCGGTCGCCCTGGCCGCTGCCGCCCGGCTGTGTGCAGCATGCTCATTATAATATGCAAGTAGCTACGCTCTGATTGGCTCACCTTAGATGACCTGCGCTGTGATTGGCTAGAACGAAGCCCGTTGCATGCTGGGGCGCCCTTCCCCGCGCGAAATGATCTCGAGAGAGCCACATTTACGCTGGTTTCTACCTTATTTCTACGACTAATTAGCAACATCCTAGTGACGAATTGCGTACTCAAAAGAATTTTCGGGAAAAAAATATATGTACATGTGGATTTGAATTGTGGTGCCTTTGGCGTAATTTTGTTGGTCACATACAACGTAATGTAACACGGAAGTGCATGGAGTCGGAGTGGCGGCACGGCTTTCCGTCCCACTCTAAACAAAACTCCAAGGACATAACAAAACTCCCCAAAACTGGTCAATAATTAGCCATAAAAATGTTGGTGGGCACGTGTAAATATGCTGCCTTTTTTCGAGTGTTATAGGAATTTTCCACGATGTTTTTGCACATCCCTAACGTTACCTCACGCCCGCCGCCTATTATGTACGGCGGACCGGGGCATTATAACTTCAGATCATCTAGGTTTGCTTATTCGGTGGTAAAATAAGTTAACAGAGAAAAACAGCAAAACAAAGTTGACAAACTATAGAAACGCTTGCCTGGGCAACAGTGACAAAAGAAAATGTCTTTCTAATTGAATTGCGCCGGTGATCGTAAAACGTTTTAAACGTTACAATATAGTAAAATGCAGGCTAGATCAACGTTCCTTCCGCTGTTCCAGCGGTGTGTATCGGTAATTTCCCGCCCCGCATGAGGTAAATTAGTACTCCTCCCATTATTCTGTGATGTTACCGCGGCCTGCATATGAATGCAGAAGTCTAACGAAAAAGTAACGGAAAAGTAACGGAAAACTTACGCAAAAGTTACGGAAAACTTACGGAAAAGTAACGGAAAACTTACGGAAAAAAAACGCGTTAGTAACGGCCGTTAGGGTAACTATAACGCGAACGGTACTGTACATGTACTAAGAATTTTGGGCTAAATGGACAAATTGGAAGTCAGGCTACCCTGTCAATGTAAGTTTTAAATAGTTGAACACTCTAGTAGGCGATTTATTTCAGCTCATTCCTTAGATGTTTACCATATATTTCAATGCGAGCTCGAAATAGTTGGGCTGTGCCCTATAGTAACATTTAGATGGTGTGAAAAAGAACCCATAATGCACCTGCATGTCGATCTCGTTCTTGATGGCCTTCCCATCAGCCCACTTCAGCTTACCCCGTGCCTTACCTGGTAACAGAGGAAACAACAACATGTCAACGTTTTGGGCATATAAATATGGTATGTCTAGGCTTTACGACATGCAATATCAACCATGCATTGCACTAGCATGTTGGCAGAACGTACTGTCCCTGAGAAAAAAAAAAGTATTTTTCATGGTTTTCTTTAGATATTTGGTCAATGTTGCATCCAAAATTCGCCCATTGCAGGCAACATCTTTTCAGGCACAGGACCTTTAGATTTAGTTATGTGCAATTTTGCCAAATACTATAATAATGTGCATGAACTTTGAACAAAAGAACTCACCCATCAGCATGCCTATGTTAAAATGGTATCTCTTCTGCAGTAGGTCTTGCTTGTACTGGTTGATCACCTCTTCTACCTGCAAGAAAGAGGGAAGGTCAGCTGTTAGATCATTGCTAATATTGTTACAACACTGGCTCACTGGCTCACTCACTCACTCACTCAATCACTCATGCACTCACTCTCACTCACTCACTCTTACTCACTCTCACTCACTCACTCTCACTCGCTCAATAACTCACTCATGCACTCACTCACTCACTGTCACGCACGCACTCACTCACTCACTCACTCACTCACTCCACTCACTTATTCACACGCTCTCACTCACTCACTCACACACTCACTCACCACTCACTCACTCACACTCTCTCACTCACTCACTCACTCACTCACTCACTCACTCACTCACTCAATCACTCATGCACTCACCCACTCACTCACTCACTCACTCTCACTCGCTCAATCACTCACTCTCTCACTCACTCACTCACTCACTCTCTCACTCACTCTCACTTACTCACTCACTCATGCACTCACTCACTGAGTCACTCACTCACTCGATCACTCACTCGATCACTCACTCGCTCACTCACTCGCTCTCACTCACTCATGCACTCACTCACTCACTGAGTCACTCACTCAATCACTCACTTGCTCGCTCGCTCACTCACTCACTCACTCACTCACTCACTCAGTGTCCAGTTTAATGTCTCAAACATCCAACATGGCCTAGTAAAATTCAATTGCATGAAGCTAACAATAAGAGAGTAAAAACAGTGTGTACGTTTATTTGATTCTAGAATATACCATTACAACACAATTCATTCTTGGGCATACTAGTAGGTGCACTGGTGCACCCAAAACATTTTTTTGGTGCACCACATAAGATAAAGTAAGTAGAATGTCAGCAACAACTAATTACATTGTATGTTTCATTTCTAAAGAAAAGTACTATAACAATGATTTTCTTATTTTCCTGACACTAAGGTATTATCAATGTGCTGTACATTTAACATATTTATATATAATCCTATGATACTTAGTAGTATGAAAATATTTGGGTGCACCCACAGAAAAAAATTTGGTCACGCAGCTCCAAATTTGGGTGTACTAAGGTGCACATGCATCCAGTATTTTGAGCCCTGCAGCCCTTGAGGGGAATTAAATTGCAGTAGGTTTCTTGAACATTAAGCTGGGGAAGGTGAGTTTGAAATGAACATTATGGGAGGAGAACTCACAGCTTCCTCTATCTGTTCCGGAGTGACCACCACTCCAACTCCACAGGACTCCTCAAAGTCTGGTACATCCACAGGGTCCACAGGGTGGGACTTCACATAGTCTAAGGCAGCTGAGGACAGAAGGATAGGATGTTATGAACAAGATTGAACTGTAATTGCCAACACAAAAAATTGGACTCACTCAAGTTTGACTCCAGTCTTTGTCAAAGGAAAGAGCAATCCACCGCTTCCGTGATGTCACACAGATAACACACGTGACTCCGTGAGCAGTGGATCATAGGTTGCAGAAAGTCTGTGGCACCCCCCGTCTCTGTTGAGGGATGGTTGTAATGCCCTGATATAGATGGCCTCTTTAATCCCTCTTGTGAAAAAATCTGTTGAAAAGTTGGGACAGCATATCTTGCTTCTAAACCCTGGTAGTGCAGTGCTCATCACAAAATTTTGCTGTAAAGGTCACAGCCCATTTTCCACTGGGAAATGTTCACTGAGAAGTCCCTTCCGTATTTTGTATATAGGTTCAGGTATGGACTTGTAAACCAGGGTTACCTGAACCTAAACCTCTGGACTTGAATCTGACCTGGACCTGAACGTGGGTTTAGGTACACAGCACTATGAACAATGCAAACATTCTGTGATTATAATATTTGTATGATGTAAAAACTTTTTTTTTCTCCTACATTGTAACTGGAGCTCTGTGGTGATCTTCTTGGTTGCGATGTACTCCGTCAAGAAGTTGGCACGACCCTTGCTCTTCAGTCTGGTGGCCATACCATACAGGAGCACCCCCATGCTCTTGTCAATGGTACTGCAATGCTTCCTGGCCTAAAGGACAAGCAATAAAAACTAATGTTTAGGCCACACCAATTTAATTTCTTGGTTAACGGATTCGACACTTCATTTTTTTCTGATTTGCAAATAAAAAAAATTCAGAATCATCTGCAAAATGCTCATATTTTGCCCTGAACAGTTGAAAACAGTCCTTTTCATCCAAGTTGTTACAGTTGTTCCATCTTTCAATAAAGTGGTATCATTAAAAGTTCAAAATTCATTGTTTAAATTTTGAACCATTTTGGGCCATAATAGGATACCTAGGCCTGTTTTTATTTTTATTTTTTTTCGCCCGCCCGCTCCATTATTTTTCTAGAAAAATCCGTTAACCAAGAAATTAAATTGGTGTGGACTTAACTTAAAAACACTCAACCTGTATCATTGCTCATAAAATACATGTACCCTACATTTCAATTGAATCCATGTATTTGAACTTTGCCCACTATTTACACTGTATGATCATTATTGACAATTTGGCAAGGAGTACTATATTGTTCTCTACACACGAAATAGTATGCATTACATCATATTACATCAGCCTACAGTCCCTTTGATATGGCCGTGCCAAGGGAAAAATGCTTTAGCCATTGATGTAGGTTTATATATAGTAAGGTTACTAGTCTTGTAAATTAAATGCTGTTTGACATGTCACATTTGACTGTCTATATGTAACACTGTTACATATAGACAGTGTTACATATAGAGAGAACTGAAACTGTGGGCTAGAAAATTAATAACGGAGAAAGATATTAATTTCCAAGCAGAATCCTTTGGGGCCATGCAGTTTTAAATTGGCTGCCAGTTTGATACCAAAAGGAATCTGCTTGAAGATTAGGAAATTCTTCTGTCTCTCACAGGTGTTTTTAATTAACCGTTCTACTTATGCTGGGAGGGGAGTTGCTGCAGCACATACAGCAAGGAAGCTATACTGTCCTTCATTCACAGTAATTACCATCCCCAAACAAGTTAAACAAGTATGACAACATTGTTTGTTTGTTTGAGCTTTTGTGAATATACTTTTAGCAGTCCATGTGGTTATGGAAGGCGTACTTGTAAATGCTTTGTATAAAAAACGTCCGATAACACAAGTGGTATCATTAAAATTATACATGTAGAATTTGATGTTAGAAGACTAGTTAGCCTTATTTCCAGACCTATTTTACCTCCCAAGTCTTTGCTGTGAGAAAAAGACTCAGAAGCTAAAATAGGTCACGTCTGGAAACCAGGCTTAAGGCTATTAAATTAATATTATCGAAGGGGGACAAAAAGTGACAAAAGCCCTTTCACATCAATCCCGGTATATCAAACCAAATCACCTCAGAGCTATGATCTTGCAACTGTCTTGCATCATAATATATTCATATGTATGCGCAAAAATTATCTGTCATCAACCACAAAGAACGACATATTTTTTTCCAACGGCTGGTTCCATATTGCACTAATCTATGATCAATCAAACGCATAAAAAATCTCGTAAGAGAGTAAAAATGGCAAGTTAAATACATGAAGAGGAAGGACCATTTTTACTTCATAACATTCCATCAACATCATGAAGATCAGACAAATCTGGGGCATGGGGAGGGGGGTCATTTAAATGCACGCTTCTTATTTTGTGACCTATTTACTACATAACACCAGCTCAGAACAGCCTGAAACGTACGATCTAACGTTCCTGAGTACCTTATTGATGATGTTCTTGAGTTCGCCCGTCAGGACATCATTTTTGAGAGTCTCTTTCGCCTTCTGTTCGCTCAGACCCACGCTGACGAAAAGGTCCAGTGTGTCCGCCATCTTGACGAGTGACGCAAGACGTGACAAGGACGACACCTTGCGGAAAATGAGAATATTACAGGGGGTGTGTCCCATTGATTATAGACAGTAGTTACCGCCGCTCTCTCGTCGCCAGGTAGTATAAGCTACGGAGGATGGTGCCCTATCCTGGGAGCCAGACTAGTATCGGGCCGTTGGGCGGGCGAAGGGCTCTTGTCTGCCCAAGGAAAACGGCCAACCGCCCAGGGTAGCCAAACTCCCCCGTAGCGGTAATTTAGATAGGCGGGTGAAGGGCTCTTGGCTGCCGAAGGAAAACTGATACTAGTCTGGCTCGCAGGGTAATGGTACCCAGGCAATCGTACCAGGGAGAGTTGCAGGGTGGCAGTAACTACTTACCGCTGGCTAGTTTTAATTAGTATAAACTAACGGAAGCTGGCACCAAGGTTACCGAGTAAGCGAGTTTAATTGGATATCCATGGTAAACCCGTCAACAACACGGGATGTGCCCTTAGCAAAAGAGCCATGAATAGATCCTTAGATAAGCCTTGTTCAGCCCTTTTCACTGGGCACAAGTAGTGATGAATATATATATACGTTAATAGTAATACAGTACTACATCACAAGTATTTTGTTTGTCAGTGTATACATGCATAGCCGACGTTGATCGCATGAAGGCGATCTCTCTCTAACCTTGATTGTACTTTTATTCATTGTTTGCGAATCTGAAAATAGAAACGGCTGAAGCGGGCTTTTAGATTTAGTTCTGTTTCGTTTAAAGGTATTATTAGCTTAAACGTCTTGCGAGGTTGTCCAGGACTTTTCCCATATATATATACAGCAGCGCGCGGCGACACAGTTCAGAGCTAAAGTTGTTGGGTTGTAGTACATAGTCGGATTACTACAGGCTTACGCGGTTACTATCAAATTTTCTTCCACAGGATAAGCGAGTAAAGTTATATTTAATGCTGTGTACCGGTTCACTGGACCGGTTCCGGACTTGTAAAAATGTTTAGGTTCAAGTCCAAAAACAACTGAACGTTGGGAGCTAAAAATAAAATCATGTCACATTCCCTTTTTCGTTCTGAACCACCTAAAGTTTTAGATGGATGGAAAAATTTGCACTGCTAAGTAAAGAAAACATTGCCATTGTGCATTGTCGTGTGTCAGCCTCCTTAACCCTAAACAGTACACCTGGGGTCCGCGCGGACCCCAGCACTATATATTCTGTAATATCTTTTTTGTTTCTAAAGATTTTTTTCTGAAATTTTAGGTAATTGTCACCCACAAAGTTGTCTCTCAATACAGTGCATAAAACTCCGTTTCTACCATTTATAAAAAAAATTATATCTGATTTTCTTTTGGGGTCCGCGCGGACCCCAGCCGGCTTTCGATCATAATGGATACACTGGCGTTCTTATACATTACCTTATTTCCGTTTTTATATGTTTTTATGCACTCATCGTATGTCTACCAAGTTTTCAGAGAATGGTGTAGTAATAGAATTACATTTTGATAACTTTGGTGTAATTATGACGTCATATGACGTCAGAGCTAATAATATAGTCCGCCATATTGGATTTTGACCAATGACGTCATTAAATTAGCATATTCTATGCATATTAAATGATTTAATTTATATTTGATTATGTAAGATGTTATCAATGTTGGAAAAGAAGTGTAATTCAATATAAAAACTCAGAAATTTTTTTATGTTTAAACCAAAATTACTTCTATTTTTAAAAAAAACTGCCTGCTAGAAACCCGTTGCCATGGCAACACAAAAAAACATCAACTTACTAGTATTAAACTAATATGAACTTTTTTTCCAGAGACATTTTAGGAAAGGTCTCCAAATTTGATACTTCTAGCGCAAGCCGTTTAGCCGCTATCTGAGATCAAATTTGGGCCTCAAAATCCCATTCAGTCTGAAATGGGTTTAAAAATCGGGTATTCCTTCCTGTCTTCTTTTCTCTACCAAAAAATTAAAAAGTTCAAAATGTATGATTTTTGTATGTAATGTGGACACAGAGGTTCCCACATCAGTTTGCAAAACAATTGAGCTGATAGCATGTTGATAATTTCTAAAAATTAGCAAAAAACTGCTCTGGGTTCCGCGCGGACCCCAGGTGTACAGATTAATCAGTCCGGGAAGGTGTTCTGTTGAGGGTCAATCTCTATCTTCCTACGACCTATCAACATACTAAAATAATATAAAAGTCAATGAAGGCGTTCACAAATGTGCTGAAACACACACACACACACACACACACACACACACACACACACACACACACACACACACACACACACACACA